CCAATTTTTTGTAATAGTCTTTCACTGAAGGTGATGAATTCTGGGCAAAACCAGTAGGCAGTGAGAAGCTCACACTACAAAATTTGTTTCTATACAGTTTAAACATTGGTTTGTGGTACTGCATGATGCACATACCATGAACATTTGTGATGATGACATCTGCACAGCTATGGAACATTGTATCAACATGTTAAAAGTGATTTGTGGGTTCAATTCATACTACATTCATTTTATTATTCATGTAGTATCAATTATGGTACTCCGTATAGTACGGGTGAAGTTTTCCATTATTTCTGCTCTTGCCATAAAAAAATAATCAGTATTCCCTGACTATGGTTGAAACAAAGACAAAAGTAACTGCCCAGAGGGAGGTTCATTTCAACCTTAGAATTTTATTTCCATCTCACCAAAACAATCTCACCTGCAGATTCCTTTGGGTGTCTTTCCAACCAAGAAAGTAGTTGAACCTACTCTGTGTACTTGCTTGGTTCTCTGGGTCACAGGATGCGTAACGTACAGCTGATGTTGATGACTGTTTGCCAACACTTCTTGCCCTCCCTTAATAATCTTCTCTGCTGTGTCATTTTCTGGGTTTTCTTCATTTTTCTAGTAAGATGAGACACAGAAATCATCAAAACAGCTGCGTTTCTGTCATTATGATAAGTTCTACTGCGCCCAATTCTGTCACTTTTGGCACTTAACAGTTTGAATGCTAAGGTAGGGATTGAGAGATGCAGTGCAGACTAACTACTCAGCCACAAACTTCCAGACACTGAAGGCAAGTCTTGGTTCTCTAAGAGTAAGGTGGGATATTTTTCCAAACAGGTTAATTGTGCTGCTGAATTAAAGATTTCTGTAAATTCTCTAATGTTAAAACGAGGGTTATACAAATACTTAATCCTGGGCAACAAGACCCCAATCTGTTATAACATCCAAATATTACTATAAAATAGAAAATGTCAATAGTTTACAGTCTTAATAGAGATATATATAAAAAATAGCTTCCTGGATTAACTTCTCAAGATTAATGGATTATTTGGATTGCTTCCTGCTTGTTAATGTATGTTACACAATTTTTGCACAGTATAAGTTCAGAACTCTTTGTTACTCTATCAATTTAACACTTAAAGAAAAACTATAAATAACCACAACACTGTTCAAAGATACCAAAGTTGAAGTAAAAACATTTTTGTCAGTATCACAGTCTTTAACACACACACACACACACACACACACAATTATTCATAATTGTAAAGAGACTTTCTGAAGAGGTGTCACTATACTCACATGCAAAGGAATAGAAAAAAAAAAAAAAGTTACACATTACATTTTCATCATAATACTGTTAAGAATAAAACACTAACAATCACATGATGCTTCTTAAATGGAGAATGCCAATTTTAAACATTTAAATGCTTCTTAAATGGAGAATGCTAATTTTAAATGTAATAGTCATTTTTCAGTAGAAAAGCTAATGTTTTAGTCAAATTCAAGATGACTGTGCTACAGATAATTCATCGTGTGTTGACAGTCAATGTTTTGCATAAAAATATAATCCTATTTACATATTAGTTATTTTTCAGAAATTCTCACAAATTCTTGTCAAAACTTCTCCTTTGCCAAAAGGCAAGCCAAGGGAAATATGAAAATTAAAGAATGTGTTTGAAGAGCAGGGAAAACAGAAAAAACACAGAAAAGCAACATGACGGGTTTGTGTGTTGGCTTTTTTTTTTGTTTGCTTGTTTTTGTTTTTATTTTGCTTGGTTTTAATTTTTCCAGATGAGATGAGGGTAAAGAATAACTACTTACTGATGGCCTCAGTCCTCCTACTAATACTACTTTAGAGATGAAAACACATACTGTGTTCACACCTTGTCATCTGCAGTTCAAAATTTGGTTTTGGATCTACAGTGTTTCTTCCCAATGTGCTTCTATTTGATCCATGTTCACTTCCTTTATTTCCATGGACTGTTCACACGTTCTTGAGCTTTACTGTCTCACATCTGTTCTCAATCCATTACTTTGGCAAGTAAGCTCAAACTAGCATACAGAGAGAGATGTTAATATTAAGGGACCTAACAGACATAAATTTTCACTCTTTAAGCTAAATGCACAACTCCAAAGATTAAAATTTCACTGCACTATTAAAAGCCGTACTACACAAAACTGAAACTAAGGCCCCAATTAAGATAAAAACTCTATTCTTCCAATAATATTATAATGATAGTAACAAACTTAAGATTGAATTAGCAGATGTTATCTACATCATCATCTACAGTTATCTTGCTAACTCTGTATAATTTAAGATGCATACAAATATATATATATATATATTTTAAATTATGCATTGATAATGCAGAACTTTATTTGTAAAATGTATTTTAAAATAAGAAAGCAATGCTAGTTTTAAAATATATTCATTTTGATGGAATTTTTGCATGGAAAATATACACAGTATTCAATTCTCACTACGATAAGACCATGTGTACTTGTCACTAGGTCAGGAAATCAGGATTGTGTAACTTAATTCAAGCCTAACCATGTCAATGCCTGTCTTAAAAATATTTTAAACCCCCATAAATGTGCATCCATCTACCTCTTATTAAACAAGACCAATGTATATGAGGCAGCAATATGCTGGTTTACACATCTGTTCAAACAAAGATTAAAAATCTATTTGGGAAAAAAGCCAAATGTTGTAAACACACTGAAAGTCATAAAATTGCTTGTCTTTGCAGAGAATCAGAATTAATGGAAAAAGTACTGTTAACTGCAGATAAACTCACAAATGGTATATTTAATTCTGGAAGTAAAAAGCTTTTAAGTACAATGACCCACTCTGCCAAACCCAAAAGAACAACAGCAAAATACCAACATATACACACAAAGAGCTCTTCTTCTACTACCTAAATTAGCTGCTCAAAGTTTTTTCTTAAGGTAGAGAAAGTTACTACAAACTAGTTACCCAAAGAGCTGCAGGAGCTAATGCCAGTGAAAGCCCGTGGCCCCTGTGAGTTACTCTTGAAAAACCTAGCTCTCTGGAGCAAAGCCAGCTGGTTAAATGGCACCCAGTTAGACTGAAACACAACAACTGGCTGTTGAACTTGTGAACATTTTTGAACATCTGCCAACTTAAATCCGGCCCCCAACTCTCAAATCCAATAATTTCTTTTTAAAAAACGATAAACATTTTGTCAGTAGAACTAAAACACTTATTTAATTTTTTTTTAAAGATGTGCCCGTGTTCTCTAAAGGTCAGACCCGAAGTTTGTTACTCTGACTGATACATGGATGAGGCTCTAGGTAGAGGTAAGCTTTGGTAAGCCTGTATCTTTCTACTAGCATTACTGTTAAAAAAAGTGAAAACTTCAGTCAACATTCCAGCACTGTCAACATTCCACACTATTTTGCTTTCTTTTCAGTTTGACTTTGTGTATAACTCTCCTTAATTCCTCCCTCTCATGGCTGATTTCTTTCTGATTCTCCTTCAATGTTTGTCTTCTAACTCACCCACTGAAATCTATTTCACGTTGAAAATTTCCTTTCAGCAGCTTTCTATTTTCTGTTCCTCAAGCACTTTCTCTACCAAACTATTGTGTGCGTCCCCCCATTATTTGCTCCTACATGAAATCCCATGTTGACTTTACAGTACTGGTCTTGTTCACCTGAATTACCATCTGCATCACATGCATAAAACTATCTCACATAGCAAGATTTAAATAATACAATTTGATTCAGCTAGGAACCTCTGACTCTTGTTCTTATACTACTAACAACAGTACATCTAATCTATTTATATTATTAAATGTCAGACCATTTATGAATTAATGTTAAGATCGAGAGAATGGAATAATAAAGGAAAAAAAAAAATCCTTCAACACAATAAGTATTCTGTGCATTTGGAAGTGCACAATATTTTTGTTTAGCTTAGCGTACTGTGTATTAATTAATATACTTGGGTAAGTACAAGTGTTGCTGAACTTCTTGAAAGAACATTTTAATGCCATAAGATCTGACTACAGCATTTTCAAATCATTATTGGAAAATGGAAAGACTATAGGGATCAGTTCATAAGCATTTCTTAGGACTATGAAGAGTGATTCAACAGAATAAAAGAAAGGAGAATTAAGAAGAACAAGTCAAATTTTTGTTGGTCAAGAAAAATCCAGCTGTTTTGCCAAACAGCAAGTCTGGCTTTGCTTTATGGTTCAGCCATGTAACTACTGAAAAATGTTAACCAATTTAACACAGGGAGGAGAAGAGTAGTCAAAAACTCAAATAGCATAAATAGTGAGACAAATTATTTCTCCTGAAATTAAGATTCCATCCAATAACTAAACAAGTAATAGCATGTTTTTCTCTCACACTAAGATGTGAATATGCTTAAAAATTTCAAATATGTGATTATGAGCAAGTTATTCTGAGTGACAACTAAAAACCACAGTATAGAAATCCAAGTACATTCTCGCCAAACATTATACCATCACACACACACACACTGTGTTAAAACATATTCATCATGTACCATATAGCACATCTTCTGATCAGTCTTCAGAAATACATATGACAAAGCTGAAGAAATACTCAGTAGAGCATACAGTATCTATGAACTTTAAAAGAATTTTTACAAAAAGATTAAAGCAGTTAGTCTTTACTAAATATTTAACTATATTAAAGACAATATGCATTCACAGAGCATATTATGAAACTTCCACTGTACAAAGTGGAAAAGTTTCACTTACATTTGCCTACATACTTATTCATCATTTGATAATTCAGTATAGATGCACTTAATTTATCTGTAACACCATTATACATTTCTATATTCTTCACATTTTCTCCTTTCTCAAATGAGCACCTTGGTGGGGAAAAAAAAGTACAACAAAATGATTTATTCTACATCAAAGATAAAAGATTTTGATTGAATACTGAATGTAACTTTTTATTACTTTACTCAACTTTGTGCATTTCCACTTCGTCAAGAAAATCTTCATACAAAGTTCAAAAGAAATAAACAGTTTATTTTCAAAGGCATACATACAAGACAAAGGCCACAGATGCAAGTTGTTTAGTAGAAGGAAACATTTTTTGTATGCAAAAAATTACATGAGTGTTACAATGCAGAAAATATCCCAGTAAATGGAGAGAAATAAAGTTAACGGAAGTACAGTAAAATGAAATTGTTAACTGCTATTGCGAACTAGGGAAAATAACATGTATAAGTGCTGGCATTCCTTCCTGTATTACGCCTGCTTTCTTACCCTACCCTCCCTTCATTTACTGCAATTAGTCTGAAGAAGCTTTCCATATATTCCAATAGGAAAGAAGGATTATTACATAGTTATGCAGAAAATAGTTTTTAAAGCATTCAGAAAACCCAGGGACTCCTACCACAGATGAAAAAATACTTCAAAGAAAGCATCTATTTTCACCTTTCATGTTTCGTTTAGTCTAAGGGGTTTTCAACATAAAAATGCTGTATCTTCCTACCACCGAAGATCTTTTCCTCCATTCCTTCTTTTTTTTCTTACATATGTCTCTTACCCTTAAAAGTATGTATCAAGTTTTGGAGACCAATAATCAGTTTCCATTTCTTTGAGTTACATATTACATACAGACTGTAATCAAGAGTCCACCAAAAATGGTAGCATCTGCACATTTAAAGTCCCACACCAGTTCACATTTAAGAGTAATGCTCTTAAAGAATAACGAAGACATGCAGCTCAGCATCAAGCAAAAATTTAAGTGCCACAATGCAGCAGTCACTTTCTACTTAGAGATTCCATCTTGAATCTCCAACAACTCTAGGATCTGTTAGCTCCATGTACAATCCAGCTGTCTCCTATTGCATAATTACAGAAGTTTTAAAAACAGTACACACCTATCAAAACCAAATTTTGTCTATCTTTGACAGCACAGAGTTTCAGTATCTGTTCTTCCTACAAGCAGCATAAAGAAGTGGCTCTACACTCTGAAGCAATGAATCCTAATCTATGTATAAGCACCCTCAGACATGACTGAGATGACCTTAAGCCGTGACTTCCCTCTTCCTCTCTCCAGCCCCTTCAAGCAAGGCAAAAGAGAACATAATCTTTTTAAGTACAGCAAGGTAAAAATGTATGGGAGAGTAAGTGAGCAGAGGCTAGGAGTAAGATGAGTAGAGAAAAAAAAAAAAACCAGAAACAGATTCAGAAACCTGTTTTTTTAAGCTGTCTCACATTTGTGGCAATTCCTCAAGTCACCGGACTTAGAGGATAATGAACTTCCTTCAAAAGCCTGAATCTTAAGTTGAAAATATGTTTGCATAATTATTGCTCAGCCATAGTTGTACTGTGTGTGAACGTCTTCCTCTTTTACTTCCCGACGATCCAGAGTATCACTATGGGAAGTATCTTGCCAGATACTGACTTCCAGTCAGCAATAAGCCTCTCTGACTTCCCCACTCACAGCTGAAAACAGTGTTAACAGGCTTTTCTCTTCAGGTATGCCAGATATCCAGGATAGTTTCCATTGCACAGTTTCATTGTTTGTTTTCATTTCTAAAACAAACAAGAAAGGCCTTCTCAAATCTCTAGCTGCCTTGCAGTCACCTAAATCATACAAAAGCATGAAACAGTGAATTCAGTGACTGTCCTCTTAAACCACAGCTTACAAGTGAGTTACAAACATTTATACCACACTCTACTTTTTATTTTCCCACTCCCTGCAAAACCTGGGAAAACACATGACTTTCTAAATATATTGTGAATTGCAATGGGTTTGGATAACTGTGAATATTTTGATCAGGTAATACTTACTGCATTTCAGTGAATTTATCTACCCAAATTACAATTCTAAATTATTTCAGCTCATCTTTTTTCCCTTTATAGTTTTCCTTGGTTTTTTTTTTTCTCTAACTTTTCCCATAATATGTATGAATTACTATGACCTTTCTGTATGTTTTTCTTGAACATATGCTATTCCTAGATATTGTTTTGATTTTACCTATACTTGTCAGGACGTATATAAATACGCTGAAACATCTGATACACAGCTGTTTCTTCTTTGCCTTGTTTCATTCTCTCTTCTACGCATACACATGTCAAACAAGAACTTCTTCCTAAATTATTCTGCATGTCAAAGCAGATAAAGTATAATAGCATCCACATAAAATTTCATGTAGTTTCTCTAAAAATTAGGTCCCCATGGTCAAGATGATAAAAAAGGTTATCAAATAATGACACTGTCTCTATTTTCACCTGATTCTTAAAAAACGAGAACTGCTTTTCTACTGACAGAGGACACAGTACTGAGCAAACTATGTACTTCAGAGAGTTATGGTGAGCTATCCATTCCAGAGTTTGAAATAAGTCTGAGTCTCATTATATTTTAGAATGATTTCTGATGGACATTAATTTTCCCTCTGAATTTAACTTTCTTAATTGAAAAGCAGTCTCAGACTGAATTTGTCTACTGTTCTAACAAAACAAGGTTACAGAATGAGAATTAGAGGTAATTGTATAGCTAATGGTCAGTATCTCAATTGTCTTAGATAAATGAAGCTAACATACCTTAAAATTTTACAATACTCTAGGACAATTGCATTTATATTCAAACTTTCTGAACCAAACAAAGCTACTCAGGATGTTGGCTATGACCACAAAGGTATCTAATATTTGATGGTATCCCAGCAGACTAATAGCTGAAATACGCTTCAAGCTATGAAAGCTATTATGCTTATTCTGAGTCCAAATTACTCTTTCAAAATATTCTGCCAATACCAAGAGACAGGTATTTAGCTATTCCTGATGATAAAAGTAAAGAAATTTTATCAGAGTAATATGTTATTTTCCTCTGGTTGTCACATCTACATTTTCTGCTTGTATAAACTGATACCATAGACATTCTATAAACTCTAATCTTTTGCTTGGTAGTGGAGAATTGATAATGCAGTCAACTGAGGACAGATTATGTTCTATTTCACATTTACTTCTGTTTCTTCTCCAGTCAGGTAACAGAGAAAGAATTTCTCACTGGGAGCAGTTTATTTAATTTGTTGACTCCATAAGAAAAGTAATTCCTATAAGCCATACCACTTTCATGTTTTTTTTTTTTTCACCAAAAACCTGATCATAAATCAACATAGTTATTAGTATTGTTGAGAATGAGAGGAGATAATCAGCCTATCTCTGAATTCAAAGTTAGGGTAATTGCTTATTCCAGCAGAAGCCTGTAGACTTGCATCTATCTTCATTCACCCTCTCACTCCTCCAGCAAACAGCAGCAAAACCAAAAGCCATGCACATACATCATAACATAAATGCAACTACAAGCATCACAGAATGCCACACATGAACTCACTGTATTTAAAAACCAACACCAAACGTCATAGTGAAATGGTTAATTCCATTGTAAACTGAAACAGTAAACTCGATAAAGCAGCATTACAGGCCAATCATTTGGGAACAATTATTTTAAAGCTGAATAGCATTCCCCATCCTAGAAGAGCAAGGATAATGGAATGTTATCTCCCAAAAGCCTACTCTTTGTAAACTACTATCCAAACTTGTTGAATCTGAAAGCTGTGCAAACACGCTGCAATCAAAGTTACTATAACTGATAGAAAGTCTTTGTTTAAATAATCTACAAAATGTCAATGTAATACAAATAAGATAAAGAGGAGTTCTTAATGACACAACTTTTGTATTTACAGTATTCTCAACAGCACTTAAATCTGCATTGGAGATACAAAGGGCACGTTTTTTCCTAGGCTGACAGCATGCTTAGTTCTCTCATTTACACCACACTGCAATAACATAAAGAGGGGTTTACCATTAATCCAGGTTTTACTACAAAGCATCCCGTTATTTCTCTGTCAAACACTGGCAAGAGAGCCAAATGTCTGTCATCCAATTCAGAGGATTAAGTCTTCTTTTATAGTGCGATTCTTGTACGAATTTATAAAAATACAGATATAGTTTCTTAGAGCTGGTCACAGTCTACATTTTGGCCTGAATTCATGCCGCAGAGGTTGAATATGACAGCTGGCAGGAAGCTGAGGGGAGAATACATCCTCCCCCTTTTCAGTCACCACATTTCTGTTGCCATAGTGATTAATCCTCAATTGAATGGCTGTCTTTGTACATTTCTTTTCAGTAAAACTTTAAGTAAACTTAAGTTGAAAACATGCAGTTGAGTGAAAAAAAAAAGACTACACATATTCAACAGGTACAGTAAAAGTTCTTGTGACTAATACTTTGACATATTAAAAAGTGCAAATTAGCTCTAATGTGGGACATCATCAGTTTTTCAAATTATTTAGTATGGCCTTTTCCCATTTTTGTCTTTTTTGTGAAGCCTCCAAGCCCTCTCCAACATCTTCCCCATGATCCAACCCCCCCCCGAAGTTCCTATTGAAGAAATACTACACAAATTCAGCTTTACAGGAACTAGAGAAAACCTACTCCAGACTTCTGTACTTGTATAAAACAGTTCACACAGGTTGTTTTTGACAATTAACACAGAAATTAATTAAGGAATGCAGTCATTTAATTCAGAATAGACTTGAAACTTTTGAAAAAGATGTTTAATCTTGCCTCATGGAGGCTTCTATTTCCTATGGTAGTTAAGAAAAAGCTTCACAAATAACACTGCAAGTTATCCAAAAAGCAAAGTAAGTAAAAAGCCCCTGCACTGAAAATTAGCCAGGTTGCTTTGGAATATGGAACCTTCAAGAAAAAAAAAAGGATCAAAAAATCTAAACCTCTAAAAATACTAGTAGATTATTAAGGTCTTAGAGAAGTTGTTAACACTTTCATTTTTTTTTCCCCTAAAATTAATGTCAGAATAATTTTGAGCAAAATATCAAGATGGGATTTTTTGGGTGTTTTTGTTTTTTGTGTGTTTTTTTTTTAGTTTTTTTTTTTTTTCCTGAAAGGCTGAAATAACTGTAGGTTTGCTCTGAAAATAAGTCTGGCTTTATAAGGACACCAGGTCCAGTCCACAGGTTCGTTTCACATGCTTTCTTTTAGATGCTTTTGTTTCCAATATCCTTCTTTCTGTAGTTACACAAGGTAGTTCTTCACTTTGGTTTTCAGCTATCTTCTTAACAGATAGTGATGGGGTAATAGCGACAATAATCTTCCACTTGTTTCATGAAAAAACAGTTTTTAATCAAGTCTGTTTGCTAAAACCAACAAAATAATGCAGGAAAAAATCAAGTTATTTACTCCAGTAGATTAACTTTTAATATAATCTTCTTCACTCACACTTCTACATAAAGACAGAAAACCCTTCTTACAAATAATCTTCTGTAAGTAGCGTATCAAGTGTACTTTGTGGTCATATGTGTAAGAAACCAACAAAGACCAGCTCTCAGTAATTTTTACTGGAGTTGGTATCTGCCACACTAAATATTTTGCATTTTTTACCCTCAGATGTTTAGAGTACTGAAGCCTGGTGTGATTCTTCCTGCATCATGGCATCATTGATCTGACCATAGCTTCTGCCTTAACACTTATGTGCCGGTTTTGGCTGGGATAGAGTGAATTTTCTTCATAGCAGCTGGTATTGGGCTGCATTTTGGATTTGTGCTGGAGATAACACAGGGATGGTCCGGTGAGTGCTGGGCAGTGCTTGCGCGGAGCCAAGGCCTCTTCTGCTCCTCAGCCCGCCCCACCAGCGAGGGGCTGGGGGGGCACAAGGAGTTGGGAGGGGACACAGCCAGGACAGCTGACCCCAACTGACCCAAGGGATATCCCAGACCACACGATGTCACGCTCAGCACATAAAGCTGGGGGAAGAAGGAGGGAAGGAGGGAAGGGGCGGGGGCAGCGGCGACGGGAAGTTTGGGGTGATGGTGTTTGTCTTCCCCAGTAACGGTTATGTGTGATGGAGCCCTGCTCTCCTGGAGGTGGCTGTATTCCCGCCTGATGGTGGGGTGCAGTGAGTGGATTCCTTGTTTTGCTTTTGCTTTACCTATTAAACTGTCTTTATCTCAACACACAATTTTTCTCACTTTTACTCTCCCAATTCTTTACCCCATCCCACTGCGGCAGGCAGGGGGAGTGAGTAGACACCTGGGGTGTAGATGCCAGCTGGGGTTAAACCACAACAACATATGACTTGGTATGAAAGATTACAAATAGCCAAAGACCTTAGTTTGCAAAGAGAGTCACTTGACTGCTTTCTGAGACACTTTGGTTCTGGGATGTACAATACATTTTTAGAACTACAGAGGAAGTTGAGATGTATTATCAACCTATAATATGGTATAATCTGTATCTCCAAAATTTCTTCAGGAACAGCTGTCTACCATACTTCTGCATGGAAAAAAAATCCCTGGCTTTGTTTTCATTACTGAGGCTCTTAAACATCTCTAATTAGCAACACTTCAGAGCCTTTCACATAAGCAGCACTATCAGAAACATCAACTGTTTGAGGGAAGATTATCATACTGTTCCTATGTCCTTTCTTCTCAAAATCTGCATAGATCTGACAGTGCTAGGTGTGATCAATGGTCAGAATATGGACAATCCTCAGACACAGAACAATATGTGCAATTCAGGAATGGTTGGTAGTAAGTTAAAATATTTTTGTTGTGATTATAAATATTCTACATTTAAGGGATATCAAGGATAGAAATGCCATGTCTATATAAAAAAACCTCATTAGTCTTTTAAGTACCTCCCTGATTATACTTGCAAAATAAAGTATAAGCAGATCTCCACTGATGTAGATGACTATTTATGAAAGCTCCCTCTATAATAAGACAACAGGATCTCTCTTCATTGAAAATGCTACTCTCACCTAACAGCTACAGAATCTTATTCTAATTCTATGCAATCCTGTGGACCTCTGTGATAAAGGAAATATATTCCCCAAAACACGATTTATTTTCCTTTCTTCAGGATCATGCGATAAAAAAAACCTTTCACGTTTGTTTGCTTCTACTACTGTCATATACAAACTATCTTAAAATAGTTACACTTCTTTAATTCAGATGCTGGACAGGATTTATTTTGACTAATGATATTCAACCAAAATATGGTTTATTTTCTTGCTTTTACAATTAATGCATACTTGATACTGTTACTTCTACTATTTTTAATTTTATCTCACCTTTCATAGCTGGTCAGTTGTGAGAGAGCTCTCATGATGTCCTATTTTTATCTCTTGGTGGCAAGAAATTACTTATTTCTGGTTGCCTAACTGTATTTTCAATAGTCATACAGAACTTATGGAAATACACACTAAACAAGCATTCAGTAATATAAACATGACTGGTCTAGCTAAATTAGACAGTTTGCACATTTTTTTTTAAAACAAACAAAATTAGGGAGTATGACAGCACTCCCTACCACCTCTGTCGAAAGAAGAGTCAAAGGTTCTGCAGCAGTCCTGAAACCAAGCACCAGGACTGTTAGGCAACCTGGAGCACAAAGCAAGCAAGAACAAAAGAAATAGTAGGAAGACCTATCTCTCATAATAAGAACCAAGATTTTGTTCCCTTAAGACTTCAAAGTATAGAAAAACAGCAGGTTAAAATAATATGTTCTATTATTTCAAAGAAAAGGTAGTTGGTGTATATGAATACTAGCACAGGTAACATTAAGGACAGACTGACTACTTATTTCTGCATAAAATATACACTTGATTGAAACCTACAGTTTAAAGGGTTAAGAGATATTTAACTGTGAATTTCATTAGTCTCAACTGTCCAGATCTAATGCAGACCTTATGAAGTCAAGTTAAAGAAAGAAACTATCACCAAGATGAACACCTTTTCTTAACCCAAAGTTCAAATCTTATACTTTCTATAACCAATTTAATTCCAAGCTTATTTATTCATTAGTTACTCATGTTCTTAAACAAGATGTTACATACATTCAAAGTTCTCTTTTCATCAACAAGACTCCCTGCCCCCTGTCCTTGTCCCTTCTACCTTGGCTCTCTAGGATCTTCTTCCCACGCAACCTCTCTCTGAAGGAAGTCTTCACAGGTTTTGCAGTCTGCTCCAGTTTTAAGCAGTTTCTGCAACTCAAGTGACTACATTTGTCTTCATGCTTCAGCAATAAAGAAAAGACTGATAAACCCAATTTATATTCCTTTTAACTACTGCAGGTAGAAAACCAGAAAGATGACATTTTTTTATATTGCTTTCCAGCAACTTGGTTTTGCTGTTACTCATATTCACCTAGTTTCCATAGATCAACTACTGAAACTAAAGAGCTTAATCTAGCACGTAAAAGTTCATGGGAATTTAGTGAAGCCAAAATGTGATCAATAGCAAGAAATCAGCAAAATGTCAATGTTTTTTACAAGATGTTGTCTCAGCTGGTTACTTTTGCATAATATGTATTACATTTTGTTTATTACTTATTGCTTTTCATACTGTTTTTTACTATGCCTGTTATGCTACATTCATACGTAGGCAGAAAGCAAAAACGTCTCACTGGCTTCAACCAAGATTTGTAGGAAAAACTGTACTTCCCAACATACAACTCATCCACACTTCAATGGATTACTTTGTTAGTAAGTACTCTTCCATCCCATTTACAGAGATATTAGTCATTTCTTGAAAAATTTATTTAGGCTTTATTAAGTCATAAATTATTATAAACAGGTTGCAGAGCGAAATTGCAAAGCAGGAAGACAGAGTTGGCATAGGTAAACTGAACAGCACAAAGGGTATTTTACTTTTGTCCCAAAGGGACCTATCTATGAAATGAAAGAGATCCTTTTTTGGTCACTCCTACTTAGAAAGAAGACAATTTGACTAAGTGTGTTTAAAAAGGGACATAATTATTATCGGGGCATTATTCAGGAGCCTTCATCTTGCTATCAAATAAAGCTTCAGTACAAATACACTGTAAAAAAAGCTTCTAATTAAGAATGTGATCATTCATACCCAGAACAAGCAGAAAGAGCTACACAACAATTCTGAGAAACACAGTTAGACCAATAATACTAGAAAGTGACATCAGTGAGAAATTTCAGCTGACAAAAATTTAGTTTTTCTTCCAATAACTATCAGTTTACAATTAACATTCCAGTATTTAATAGTATCATTTTATTTACCTAAAATAATGATAGAAATTTAACTGTTCAGCTGTATTTTAAGTATTACAGATTGTGTTATTTTAATCCGTTGAAAAACTTTTTTTATTAAATTTCACTTGAAATCAGTATTCTCTTTATGGTAACACCATTAGTAGCTCTAACAGTGAATGTCCTAATTTAAACTGATGGCAAATAAGTGAAAAACAACTGGCAAAGACTGATGGCCAGAAGAATAATGATCACATTTTTCACAGAACACCTTCTAAAATAAAAATAAAATAATGAAGAAATGAAAATAGAAGCAGTAACATTCTAAGCAGCTCATATTTCAAAATTGTCTTAGGAAGCTTTGGCAGCTTTTTTTGTTTCAGCGGAGTGCAAAAAATTCAAAGCTCCGCCTTTAAGAATAGGCAGCCATCTAGGGATTATTTCTAGATTAGTGCCTCTACGTAAAAGAAAGAACAGGAAGCAAAGGGAGAGGCAGCTTTCTCCATAATTATTGATGTTTTTCTTCCTACTTAGATCTCCAAGAGAATTGATACTACTGTTGTTTCTGAGTGAAAAATAGATACCTTAGAATAACTGCCTGACAAGTTAATCAAGTTAATTTCTAATACTTGCACCCACAGAAACTCTAAATAATGAGATGTAATGTACATGAACAATACAAATGAACTCCCACAAACTAGTTTTGAATATAGGTGGATCAACAGACATTTACTCGAAGTACGCTCCTCGAAGTTTTATTTCATTTATATTTAATTTTAATAACGTTGTCAGCCATCGCTGTTAAATAAGTATCTTTCCATAGTATTCTTGAGTATTTTTGATGAGCTTTTCTGTTAATAAGGGACATTCTAATGCAAATGTGTTAGAATTGAAAAGGCCTCACTTTTATTGGTTGGCTTGGTTTGATCTTCCCAGTGTAAAAATTCTTTGGCATCCCTGCTAATGGCTTAATTAAATACAGTACATGAACAACACTGGAAGAAACTCTTCTAGCCACTGTGGATGTTCAACACCCCAGAACAACATAGTCTTATGGCTACAATTTCTATAGTGATTGCTAACATGTTTGGAAAGATTAAACTGCACGTTCACCAATTACTTAATCTATGCTTGTGGTTTATCTTAAGAATCAGTCTAGGAAACTGAAAATGTTTATTACAAGGCAAACAACAAAGTGTCCAGATAATCAGAGTAGATTAAAACCGTTATGTAATAAGAAAAAAAATCTGGAAGCTGTACCTGAATTTATTCCAGATTTGTATGTATTCCAAATGTAATTAAACATGATGCATGACCAACAAAAAGCATAAAATGTATCTGTTGCTGCAAATGAGCACTCCCAGTAAACTCTAGTTTTACATTTCAGACATTAAGCATAGACAATTACACTCATTACAGCAACGGCATGCGCCCACCACCCACCCTCCCCCCAAAAAATAAAATATGCAAACTGATTTATGTCTGACTTTATATGCTACAGAGATTATGGCATATACTGTGGCAACTGGATGTTTGTTAACTGGATCCAGGACAAACTGAAGTTTTTTTCAAGCCTCAAATCAGAAAAACATGGCACAGAATTTGATTTCAAACACCCAATCTTTAATCTTACCATTTCTCTCACAGAAAAATCCCACAGAGGGTGCTGTGCTGCTTAATTCCCAATTCTTTCAGAGCTGACCAATTTAAAAACCACCCCAAAAAAACAAAACATAAAAGTAATTTATTAGACCTCCATTTGAGCCGCCTCCTCCTCCTCCCATCCTCAGTGGCTTTGATCATTCATGGTGGCCATTAACAGAAAAACAAGTTTGTTAGAGCTTTTTGAGATGAAAAACGAGGATAAAAATAAAGAGTAAAAACAACATTTCCCAAACATTTCTCTTTACCTTGGCAGTACAGACTGCTACATTAGCAGGGAGCTGGGAAAACTGCTTCAACTCAAATACGTCTCGCACTGCCCACCGGCTCAAGCGATTCTCAGCCTTGCTGGATCCAACCACATTCTGATTTGAATGAATATATGCCACTTCTTGAACACCATCTGGTACATTAGGGGAAAGATATAATCACAATCAAAGATGTTCATTATTCCAAAACCTTGAAGGTACACAGTTGTACTGAAGAAGGATATTGTAGTTTAAAAGAAGTTTTACATGGAGTTGTAAAATTTGTTACGATTTCACTTGGCACAAAGTTACTCAGCTCTATGAAATTAACAACAATCATTAGAGTTATTCAGATTTATCCAGACAGTTTAATACTGCTTCCATTTCAGTGTGGATTTTTTCAGATGGACAAAGACATTTCAAAGCATCTATGATTTAATGGCTGCAATATTAATGTTTAAAGTTAAGTCTCTAGCAGAATAAAATCTTCTACGTAATATTTCAAACTCCCAGATCATGATTTTTTTTTCATGTACCTAAGATTTTATTTAACATCCCTGTCAAGACTTGTAAGGTTTTACAGTTCAAATATTTAGATCTGTGAATTCTTAATAAATCTTCAATCCTTGCATCTTTCAACTAACAGTAAGTGTTTAACAAAATATTACAAAGCAGTCCATTACCCCATAAGACAGGAAAGTAAGGCTAATAGGTAAAAAGAGATACAGAAAGACATTACTAAATAATTTAGCAGAGCATTTATAACTATCTCGTAACAAAAACATGTACAACAGGAAGAACTTACAACCTGCCAACAATGATAAATTAAACATATGTTACTACTTTAGTTGAAATAAAATCAAAGAAGCTAAATGACTTGTTACCTAAATATCTGTCCATTGATTCCACTTTCTGCTCTTGATGTTCAAATTCAGTTTTACTTGCAGAAGTTCTATGCACAGCATAATTCATAGATTTCATTTGTGCAACAGAGGTATCTTGAACAGCATGAAGCATTTTAGATCCAAACCGAACTCTGCCTTTCTGGATTTTACACTTAGAACTTTGCTGTCTGGCATGAATTTTCTCAACTGGTAAGTTATCTTCAGAGGATAAAAATTCATCTATATTCTGAGAATCACCTTCCTTTTCTTTCCTATTGGGCTTCTTTGCTTGTAGCAGAGATTTGAAGACATTACCTAGTCCATTGGTATGGGCATGTCTTTCTTTCCATTTTGGAAAGCTGAATGTTTTTAACTCTCTTGATTCAGAATTATGGGAAATTTCAATATCATCAGACTCATCACTTATGTCGCTTGCTCCTTTCAAATCTCTTGTGCTGTTCTTGATGTCTTCAAAAGACATGACTTGGCTGAAATTTGACTCAGTACTATGGAATCCAAATTGCCTACTGTCTCCCTTAAATATAAACCCATCTTTTTCTTTTGCTAACTCTTCACAGTTTTCAGATGTTGACCCGTGTATTTCAACTTTCCTAGTAAGCATCCGTTGCTGGCATGCTGGAACCTGGGTAGGAAAGATGACATCATCATCCTCTTCAGAACTGCTTTCAGTTTCCATGACTATATCGCTTCGTTTTGAAATGCCTTGATCCTCACTTTCTCTGTCCCCTTCCTCCTCTGAGCCTGATAGAACAAGCCAGTCTGTACTACGCATATCTTGTTTACCAGTTCCATCTGGTGATTGAGCAGCTTTCCCATGCTCTGGAACAGGCACATGGCTATGACATTTCTGAAAATCGCTGTGCTTGATAGTTACATTTGTTCTTGTAGTCTGATCATCAGAACTTGAATGATGAGACTTAAAATTATTATCCCCTCCTTTGGTAGTTTCAATTTCTCTCTGCAACAACTTAGAGAATCCACACTGCATTAGGGAAAGCTGTCCCTTTGTTACCATTAAATTATTTGCATTGCAAGGCTTCCTCTTGTCACATTTTTTCACAGATGTTTCCAGAATATCATCGTCACTGAAGTCATCATAAAAATCCACTTCCTCTCTCTTTAATTGTGCCTGAATGCTTTGGGGACCTCTATCTTCTTTACAGTCTGGTTGTTCATACTAAAAAGAAAAATAATTTACAGCAAAGGTATTTAAAACATTAATAGATTATGGAACACACCTAATTCCAAAGCAGTGGGAAAAAAAAAAAAAAAAAAAAGTGGATTTTCACTATGTTACTCAATCAAAAAAAATACAAAAATAATATTACAATACACAAACAGAAAGCAAATACAAAGCAAATCATAAAGAGAAATTACATTAATGTATTCAGCAGAACAAAGTTTTTAGCAGAACAATGAAAATTATAAAAAATATTACGAATGAGACAATATATGAAGCATACTGCTAAAACAACCTATTTCTTCACAATATACACCTGCTTTTTTCTAGTTTATACTAATCTTGTTGCAACTTTTCATCTTTCAAAGGTAGTTTGAAAAGTGACTTCATGTTTTAAACCTCAGCACTGCTTTTTTTAATTAATGTTATTACACAGTCTCACAGCAGTGATCAATCTCCTTGTATATCGGGGCTAACACAGTTTAAAAGCGCTACGAGTAGAAAACATTCTACTCTAAAATCAGTTGAGGCCTACAGTAATCAAACAAAAGTTACCCCCAGGCAACCTTAAAACATTTTGAAGATACATACGTCCAGAATACAGCTCCAAAACTGTGTACTACTGAGACATGAATTATGACAATATGTAAACGGGAAGTCAGAAGAGTAAATACTAATCTTTTATACATGAAGAGAAGTTTTAAAATATATTAATCTTGATATCACCCTGCTTATCAAAAAGCATTTAACATAAAATAAAAGTCAGTCACCAAGTCCAAGGTGAGATCATGACCATACAGTGATGTATTAGCAATGTAGGATTATGACCAATGTGATGGCATACTGATTTATATTGATACTGACATTTGCCAACAGAAATCTCCAAAAACAGTAAGAGACAGTGACTAATTTTTAGTACCAGTGTGATCTAATCTAATGATATTTTCACACTTAGAGGCCATATTGTAGACCTAGCTGTTTATTTCCCAAATCACCTCAAAACAAGTGTTCAGTAAAAAAACATTCATAAAAATGCTCCCATTAAACCCAATCTTTTAAGAAAAAAAATAAATAATTCTTGATCCAGACAGAAACCCTTAGACAATTAAAAAAAAGAAAAAAAAAAAAAAAAAGCCAGCATTGAGCAGACCACTGATACGGTGGGAATCCCTCTCTAAGTACCTCAACTAAATAACCCGTGTCTTCCACAGAGGTCCACAAAACCTGAAGCAAGATTTCAATCCTCTCAACCAATTGTATTCTTTTCCACAATTCTCTCATTAGAATCTTCTAAACAGCAGTTTAGAAGTGGTGTGAGGTCCCCAGCTGAATTCTTGATCAGAAAGCTGTCATGTCTTGTAATATAAGGCTGTCACTCTTAAGACACTACAGAGCACCGCTTTAGTAAACAATATTGCTCTGTAATAACAGCATGTTAGAAATACCTTCATTGAGACTAAGGATATCCAAGTGTTGTAAAGGTCACAGAATACTGTATTACCAGGTGTTCAGAATATTCCATTTTAAATACATAAATACAGACAGCATGACATTATCTAATGCTTTACTATATGTTAAACAAGAGGCAAACAGACAATAAAAGATGGCAAGTGCAATCTGAGGTAAAAGTATTATCAGCCTAACAACATACTGTCCACATTTGCCACTGTAGAATCAGGAAACAGAGGGACTGGCGCAGGTACCTCACCTTTTCCGAGCTGCATGGAGGAGTCTCTTCGTTCAGCCATGTAGTTGCTGTCATTACTCCTGCTTCTACCCGTCCTTCCCTCTAAAACAATCAAGAATGTAAGCAATAAAAACTGTACGTGTTCAAGTTAACAAAAACAAGCCCAGAAAAAAAGCTCTTCTTTCTTTCTACAGAGCTGTAAGCACCAAAGGACAATCAGCAAAGTCCAGACTAAGACTTACATTTTGGCATTACGCTTACTTTGATCTATGTAATCTTTGATTATGCTTTTGATCTAACACCCAACCTGCAGGAAAAGTAACATACTGCATGAATTGGGAGGATCTTACACATACACTTTTTTGATAATTTTAAACTTTTTTCCAACACAGAACAATTCCTACAGTATTTATATTACATACTATATTTTAATTTAATGTAGAGAAGTTTTGAGCTTAATATCCACAAAGTACATGTTCTTACACCACATTACTCTTTTGACTATGCTACTGATATACTGCTATATCACATTTCCCAGCCTCTTCCTAGCATAGGCAAAATAAAGAATAAAGGGAAGGACAGAAAGAAACCCAGAATAAAGCTGCAATAAATTCCAAGATGCAAGTTATCTGCATATGCACTATGGAATTGGGGCAACAGTCTTTTTAGAGTAACTAAGAACTTAATCTTAAAATATGAAGCCTCATCTATTCCCTTCCACCCTGTAACATTTTAAAATACAGCATTACAAGGCATATTTTATTGAACAATTTTTGACATCTCAAAGCATAGGTTACTATGATTACAAAAAATATTTTTATCATCAGAATTCTGGCTTAAAAGGGCATTCTGAGCTACTGATGAATAAAAGGGGTCTGTGCACAAAGCTGACAATATGTGAAAGTATTTAAAAAATAAGTTACAGCATTTTTATTAGGAAAAGAAATGCATTAGCAAACTTCTGAAAATTATAACCCAAATCTCTTCCAGTCTTTTGTTTGATTTAAGGCAATTTATCTGGTCTATGTCAGAATGAGAAATTAGCATGCCTACTTCAATTAAGGCATTGCATAGACAGGTACAGTTTAAGTTTCATCATTCTGTTTTATAAAGTGTTTCCATTCAAAATTATGATAAAACATCTCATGAGGAAAGGAAAGATGTAAAACTAATATCCAAAAGTAACAGGGTAGGACTTCACACCTCCAGAATTTCTTTGGTAAGACAAGATCCATGAGTCCTAAGTTTGAAAAGGTTATGGATCCCAAAAAGCTCTCCTTGATGTTCCTTTGATCCTTGCACTGCCTCGAAATACCTCTTGGCATTTTCACTTCCAACCACTGCACAGTGAAGTTGCTAAAACAGAACAACACAAGATTTCAGAAGTGTTTGCTCCAACAACATGTCAGAATTTCCTGGCATCCACATTATATACAGAGCTTTAGTTGGAGCAGGCAGAAATTCCTAAGGGAGGATATTTTGTTTTAATTTCCCTGGCAGATGTTAGTATAATAGATCATGGTATAACATGAACCTGATTGGGTTTACTGAATAAAAAAAAAAAAAAAAATATTTAAAGTCTTTTATTTCACTGTTGTCTAATATCAGATACCTACTATACACACTACTGACACTCCCCTATATCTTGAATACTCATCCTCCCACAATACTAAATCTTACTACTTTTTCATAGTCCTTTGAATTGTATGCTTACTTGGTAAGGACTAAATAAAGCCACAAGCTTACTCCTACCGATCTCTGAATATTTTAATTATCATGCATTCTTGCTAAGTAGACTGAAAAGAAGTGACTTAAAAAAATCTTCTAAATTAAAAGGAAAACAAGTAAATAGTTTGTCAGGCAGAATTAAAACATTTTTGAAGTCAGGAAGGCTTAGCTGCATTCCAATGACTGCAAGTTTTCAATACTTACATAATTGCTCTATTTGATTTTAAGTGGAAGAATGTCAAAACCATGGTTTTATGGATACCAGACCTGTAATATTTTTTGTAACTGTCTCTATGCAGTTGGTACTTCTTCAGCTCTAGTCACATTTAGTTCTAGCACTGAACAGGCATTTTCTGAGACAGTACATCTCTTGAATTATGTAGGCCAGTAACTATACAGTAAAATTCTAGTTTAACTTTAGCTAAGCACAGTTAATATCTTTCTTGAATTATGCACAGTATTTACAAAAGTATACTTTAGGATACGTATATAATTTATTTGAGTTTCTGTTATGTCAGATTTCAATTTTATTTACATCAGATTCTTCCATCGCATATGACTAGGTCAGACAACCAAACACCACTAAAAATAATGCAGCAATTTAAAAATCAAATAGAGCCCTCAATGAAAATACATAAAAATACAATGAAAAGCATGGATGGCAATATTTAGCTGAGAGCACATTTGTATAATTATTCAAAAGCCACACATCCACACGCACTCAGGGTTTCTGAATTTTCATCAGCAGAAAAATTCCTTTTCTTCACAACTTAATGAAAATTTCTTATCTGTGCTCAACTGTCAATAGTGAGGAGTGCAATCCAACTGTAGACTAAAAAAAGAAAAATCCCAGGTTTACAATTACTCTGTTTATTGCTTCTTAATCAACTTGAAAAACACAAGTCAACTTGAAAAAAGCACACAAGAGTTTTTCAAGAAGTTTTATACATGCCTTTTGGAAATCCAAACAGACAATATCCAAGTCTTCACCTACAAGATCACCAACTCTGTGAAGCATGACTCTCCTCCTTCAGGATTTTAGTGAAAACAGTTGGTTGTAGTATGTTATTTTGTTATATTTATATTGCTCAGTTAGTTAGCCTTTCTGAGACCTCTCCTACTGAATACTTGCTGTTGAACTGAATCCTTAGAAGTACTTCACACAAGAGAAACTTTCAATCAGGATGCTCTCTAAGCTTTTCCATGAATGTGGATATAAAGAATAAATCAAGTGGTCTGAAGTAATGCCCATAGAGCAGTACAATTCCTGCTCCAGATGTGTACGAAAACTAAATTATTAGCTTTTATGTTTTCATACCACTGTCCCTCAAAAGTAGTTTTTGGACTTACATTGTTTTATATTCAACTTGCCTCATTAGTATATGATTTCAACTATTAATACAATGTCTTTCTTCATTTTGAGCTTCTGATAAGACTCTGAAAATTGTCCAATTATCTGTGAGCCCATCGCCTACTTCTTTTAATTTCTTCTTAACAAGCTTCCTATTTTTTATTTAGATCATTTTGTCAAAATTAAACAGAACTCTAATGGCTTTTCAGCTTCTACAAAACACTGAATTTAAGTGAGATAAAGTCACTGTTACACTTTTGAAAGTAACATTTTAAGCAGGCCATATACATTACTGAGAGCAGCTCAAGATTCGATCTTTTAGCTGTGCATTTTCTGACTACTTGCTCTGTAAAATCAGGTAATCTTAGAATCCTTTTATTTATCACTTACTTAAATCTTAGGTGGATAATGACAATTTGTACACTACCTATTTCCCACTCATTCAGCCTCCAACCTCCTCCTTGCAAATAACCCAGCTACAAAAGGGTGCTTGTCACTGAAGACTCATAACCAATTTTTTCCTATTTATGGCCAAAACTTATTAGGTTAATTAATTAAACTTCATAAAGCTTTCTTTAATATAGTATAGACTGTCCACCGAGGTGACCTACTTTGTGTTTTCTACGCAATGCATTCTTCAGAAGAACTGCATCTCACTGATTTTCTTCCTTTCTTCAAGTTTATATGCCTATAATGTCAGTATCTTAACTTAAAACCAGTCATCTTATTTCTTAACTTGCAACTTTTGTTGAGAAAAACATGTTCATATTTCATCTAGTTTCTTATTATTCTGCAGCCTGCTTTTTGTTGATCATGTTTGAGTTTGCTTATTTTTTAATTCTGACCTCATCAGGAAACAGTTGCTAGATGATGTGTTCCACAAACCATGTATTTTGTTTTTCCCAATCTTAGGTGTTTAAACCTACCAATGCAACTAGAAAAATGTAGAGACAGCAGGTGTTTCAGGTTCAATATTCTGGCAAGCAACATAAGTTATTATCTTCAGAATAGCAGCAACGACAAGCTGTTTCCCTTTCCTTTTATAATCAAGTTTTTACAGGCAGGAGCATAGCAACGCCTTCTTTCTATAGCACAAGCATGATTTTTGCCCTATCTTTGATAGGAAGAAAGCAGCCTGAATCAGACTGATGCAGATACTAACTACATCCCTCACAGATATGTTTTACAAGTCTTTAAATAAAAGGTTTCTTCTCTGTATAACCTGATTAATCTATATTATGTAATCAAACTGTCAAAAGTTACAGAAAAACTTCAATACAAATATAATTCTGTTTTGTTCTTTGGTAACTGTTGAATGATATATCTCTGCTTAATAAGTTAAGGTAACACCACATATCATAAAACCAAGGTAAACTACAATTTTGCTATAGGCTAGCCTAGTTTTCAGTCACTGAAACCACTAAAAAGAGTTCCCAATTTAAATAGTTTGTGAACTTTACCTGTTTATAAACTTGTCGCAAGTACATCATCTCCTCCACAGTTCCCAAGGATATCAATCTAAACACTTTAACAGCTTTGTACTGGCCAATTCTGTAAGCTCTGCAAGGACAGGGCATATTAAAAAAACATTTTTTTTATCAGTAAAAAAAATAAGAGAGAGTTCTTAGGGGTAGTAAAATAAATAAATAAAGGCATTCCAGTAAAATAGGTGTAACTAAATTTATGAGTTGGTTGTGGGTTTGGTATTTTTTTTTGGTTTTGTTTTTTTTTACTTTTCCAAATTTTCCTCGGTATTTCATTCCCTTTCCCTTTCCCCTTTGTTTGCCATGTTTCTTCCCAGGCCTATCCAGTTGAAAAAGCCTTCCCCTCAATTTGTATCAGAAGGCATGTCTCCCATCTCTCTTGGAAACACACCTTCCATTAGGTTTTCTCAGTTGTTTTCTCCTCTCTGTCTCCATTTGCTCCCGCACAAGCTATTCTTCTATTTGCATTATATAGGAGTTAGATCATGGATTACTTGGGGCAGTCTGTTCTTTCTTAACTTTACAAAGCACTTTGCAAGTTACATGATCATAAAAATGGTTAATGAACAGGCAGCGTTCTATCTAAATGGTAAATTCTGAGACTTCTAATGTATTATATTCCAGAAATTCAAGAAAGGGTGAGCCAATTTATAGAAATTGACAAGTCAGACTATGCAAAAAATTTCTTTCCTGAGGAAAATTTCAGTTGGGACAATCAGATTACAGAATTAAAGCACAGCAGAGTACAACATAGATCAAGTTCTGTATTTTCTAAATGTACCTGTCAATAGCTTGAAGATCATTTGCTGGATTCCATGTAGGATCAAACAGTATAACAACATTGGCACCAACAAAATTAAGACCCAGTCCACCAGCCCTAAAAATGTAAAAACGAAAAATCAGAACTATTTGACAGTAAGAAGACCAGAACAATTCTTTTTTCACTGTATTAGGTCCATATTGGTATATCCTTCCCCAACATAAAAAAAGAGCACAACAGAGATACTGAAAATAGCGGGGTACAGCCTTGTGCTATTGTGGTAATAACCACCAAGTACTCAAATAACCACTGCTGTAAAATGCTGTCTTCTCACCTAAGTAGCAAGAAGATTACAAACTGTATGACTAGCTGAGTCATAACCAACTGCTATCACCTTACTATAGTAAAAGTCCTGATTGCTACTTCATACCCACTGACACAGCCCAACTCCCCCAACAATTACACTGAAATTTGTAAACACTTTTATGCCAGCTAACATTACAGAAGCAGGAAAACTATTGCTTAAATAGCATTAAATTTAAATAGCATTGAATTTTACTTTCTCTAATCCCCGTATATAGTCTTGACAATAATGCTATGCAGTTTCCACTAAAATGGTCACAGCCATTACAGGTAAATCATATCTGTAAGACCTAACAACTCTCACAAGTATGTTTGTAACGTATGTAAGTCAACTGTTAAAAATACAGTTGGCCACACAGCTGCATATGAGGAACGTTCACACTGGTCATTACACGGAAAAAAGTCACTGGAAGAAAACTGCCTACTGTGGGGGTTAGGAGTCACAGGGGTACCAATTACATCACCTTAAAACATTCAACAGCTGTAGTGTGCTTTCAGGTAAAGCCTGCAAGACAGTAAAGAATTTGAGCATATGCCTAACCTGAGGAAGCTAACTAATACTCTGCTGAATCCAACAAATCTGCTCAGTTATTTGGAGTTTGGCATGGCACAGCTGAATGATTTGATAGGAACAAAAGTGAAGAAAATACCAGCTCTCATCCAGCTACAAAACAAGCAAATACTGAAAATCCTTTTCAACTGGCTCAACCAACATTCCTACAAAAACAGACAAGTTCCTATACAAGTACATGCTAAACACTATTATTAACTATTAAACCAGTTCTTCACATTGACATAGCGCTAATTTCAAGTGTGTTTTTTTCCTGAATGAGGTACCTCAAAATTGAAAAAGTCAATTCCGTTTAATTTACCAAGCACCTGGTTTTAACAGTTTCCTTTATATTCTGCTTGTTTAAAGCAGTGGGAAAGGTAAAGTTTCCAGGTATAAGAACGAATGGAGACAGAAACCAAAAGCTTATGGTGCCCCACCACTTTTTGGTCTTCATAGAATCCTTGCCAATGTAAATACAGTTGTGGCCTCTTCCTTCCAGGTGTGGTGTGGTGTTGGGTTAGTTAAATCTGGAAAGGGAAAGGATGTGGGAACCTGCCAATATTAACGGGGGTTTCCGTATGATGAGCATTCTCAAAGTTTGAAGTGGTGAATAAAAATCTTTGTATTTTTCAGAATACCTTACTGTATTTTGGAATTTTGGTGCATTTCTTTTTAGTGAGGATAGAATTCAGACTCTCATCTTACCAAACCAACCCTGCAGTCAGACTGAAACATAAGTCAACATGTTTTTCCAAATGCTTTCTCATAAAAATCGCAATATTTGGAACTGAAATATGAATTAAACCTCAGTGCAAAGCCTTAGTGCAAGTAAAACAGACTGACTATAAAAATTAACTAAACAGGATACTTAACTTTATAAAGATTTTACCTTTCAATATTCTTAGGTATGCCACAAAAATTCAGATACTCCAAAACAGAAAAAGAATGGTTCCTTTATCCTTCATGGACAGAATGAATGCTGTAGTTGGTTTGCACATTGTAAAGAATATCTTCCATTTTAGCTATCATATTATTTAACTAGCTGTAAGTCATTACTGCAAAATGGGCCATGTGAATTATTATAATATGGCTCAAATGAAGAGCCCTGTATGAAAGGTCTCATAACAGTTGTTACAAACAACAGTTTTCAAAATATCATCTTATTTCAAACTCCATATTGTGTTAAATAAATGGCTTTTTATATCCTGTCACTGTCAACTTAATACCTCAATGTTCAGAAGTTACAAAACAGTATCACGAGGATAATTTCCATGAAAGCTTTGAGTATATAATTCTATTTACCAAGGTAAGTTTTTTATAGTTTCTAAATTCTCTGTTTCTGTAAGAGCTTGTGTCAAAGTTCTTTGAATGTGATTACATGTTCATTAAAAATTATTTGCAACATAGTTGTGAAGAATTCAAATTAAATGAAGCCCTGTAAAAGTAAAAAGTAATGGACAGTAATAGAGATTGTTGAAGGTAGAATGGAAGTGCACACTGTAACTTTTCACAATAAAAAAACAATCTACAGATTTCTGCAACCACCATCTCTTCATCATCTATTCACTCCTCTTTATCTAATAAGTAAAACTGAGAAGTAGAAATGGTTTTTCATTTATAATTATTCTGAAGGAATTAATCTAGAGAAAGATTACTGTGGAAAACACAGAAAACAGTGATTTAGCTTTAAAGGTGGGAATATTTGCTGCTTGTATTTCTTCCAGAACATTACGATGGAACAGGACTGCATAGACTTCAGTATTGTACATATACAGTTCCCTTTCCTCAGGCTAGGCTACATCAATGGAGTTGCAAGCTCTGACATTCTATCAAGTTATAATCATACTTTTTCCCAGCAACACCAGCACAGGAATGAAGTATTCTGAAACAAATTTTACTTCATGAGCCTTAGAAGTTCCAACATATGTATACCTATTTCTTCCACAGGGCTCAAGGTTGAAATTAATGATCTATACCTAATGGGTTGATGAAATTTACAAGCTCTGAAGAAATCAATCGTATTTTCTCTCAATAGCTATAAAATATATTTATCCATGCAGCTATAGCTATCAATAAATTATTATGGATAGCTTTATGACTATGTTTGATATTAACATTAACTGCAAGATTTGAGGTCAAGTTATATGTATAGAAATTTTTTTTTAACTTTATTAAGGCCCAATTTCTCAAAAAACTCATAAACCAATTAAAATCAGGGTTACCAAATGTCTATGGGCTATACATAAGCAATTTCAGGCAGAAACAGCATTGCTAATATTAACAAAAATGGAATATAAACCAGGAACATTGTAAATTTAACAGTGAAGTCATCACCACTGTCTGCACTGTGGCTTGCTAATTTATTGATTAGAGCTTGGTGAAAAAATTGTATGTTGACTGTGCCAGTAGACTATAATGGCAGACTCAACATCACTATGCATGGAATTCATCCTTTGCAGAATGCACTTCCGCAGCCAAAAGACTGGGCAAGCATTTTCAATGAAAATCAGTATTTGGCTCTCTGAGCAATGAGGCTTTCAGAACACATACAAGTTGACTACACAGAACAGCTGGCCAAAATCTTAGCAAGAAAGTACAGACAGAAGAGTATGACCTAATTCTGTCAGCTTATTATGTGTTGAGTAATAAAGAATATACTGTAAAGTCCTAATGCCTGTAATCTGAGTATAAGGAAAGATGAATCTCTTGTAGAGCTGAAATAGGATAAATCACCTTCTGATATCCAAAGCATCACAAAATCAAAGCTGCTTCCATTATGGTATATCAGACAAGCAAAAAGGTCACTTATTATCTGTGATAAACTACACAATGAACTTCATTTTCTGTTTTCTTAGTAAACACTGGTTATACTGACTGCAATTCCATCATTGCTTCTTCCATTTACTCAGTAAGATAAGAAACACTAAAATCAACAGAATAAAGACTCCCATCTCAAGCACCACCAGCAGGCACGAAAAGATCACCAGTCTCCATATTCACAAACTCTAAGAACAAAGAGGAGAAAGTCCATCTCTGCTTACCTGACCTTAATTTTTATTTCTATGTAAATTAACGGAAGAGAACTGAAAAGGTTATGATTACACAACTGAACCAGACTGATAGAAGCACAGACTAGAGAGTCTTTCCTAATGCTATGGATGCAGTAATTTCCTGCTGTCTTCAAGGAAGACCGCTAAGACAAGGAATAGGGACTCATGAAGGTCTTAAGGAAGGCAATGACCAGATTCCACAGCTGATAGAGATTACAAATGAATGTTCATAACCAACACCACAAATCTCTTCACAACTCTGCCCACATACACCAGAGTATCTGAAAGCAGTACCGACATGCACTTGCAATACTATGTCTGACTTCTAATTAAAGAGAGGAAGTGTGGATCCTTCTATCTAACCCCAACATGCACACTTTCAGTACAGACGGACTAAAGTGACTCTATAGGCAAGAACAGCGTGTTTGCCATTTTCATCAAGTTTCACTGAGTTTTCCTCTGGACAGGAAGATTAAAGTTTCATTTTGTTCCCTTTCTGCCCTTGCCTCATAACTACATCCCACATGAAACATGCAAGTAACCGGAATTAAAAAAAAAAAAAAAAAAGAAAAAAAGAAAAATGAACGGTCATAATAATTTCATCAATTTTAGTTGAATGTATTGCTCTATTTCAAAAGAATTCACTAGCCATCATAAATTGATAAGCAGATCTGATAGATGAATATATTTTTAAATGACAATCCAGGATACTTTGAAGTATTTAAAATATATATATGCTAAATAACATGGTTAATAAACTACAGTAACACAGAGAGATCTTTTTTCAGTTCAATATAGCAATTCATGTTCACACTCACCTGCTAGTTCTACTACACAGTAAAAAAAAATGAGTCTGTCTACAATAAAATGAAAGTTTTTTGTGGATAATGACATCATAATGTCTTGGTAATAACGTTTAAAAACTGTTTCCTCACTCCTACGGCAACTGGAAATTTAAAACTAGGATTCAGAAGACCCACTTGTTTCAGATCTTAGAAATCCTCATAAGGTAGAGGAGAGTGGAAGGGAGGAAGTCTCCAGATATTTTAAGAAGCTTCAGACTACAGCAGTGAGTCCATCTTTACTAACAGATGAGAGAACAATTCACTTTCCCAAAAAAGTAATTCCTTGCAAGGTCATCAAGCAAATGGAGAGTAACCTATTTACTCTGGAGTAAACACTGAAAAGGCAGAATGAAACAGACTATAAGTTAAATTTTCTTACATTGTAGACACAAGACATATGTTAATTTCTTGAATGCCATTGAACTCTCTTACAATTCTGAGCCTATCTTCTGATTTTGTATTTCCATCAAGTCTTCGGTAATCTAGCCCAGATGCCATACAGTATTGTTCCAGCACATCTAGCAACTGGGCGGAAAAAAAAAAAAAAAGATTAAGTGATTACTGTTATCTTTTTCATTAAACATAATCACAGAGGCCATGTTTCTCAAATTAATTTCAATATAGCAAGCACTGAAAATGAGAGTAAAACTTTGCCATTTTGATATCAACATCCTTGACTCTCTTTAGTTGTGATTTTACTGCATTCAAGGTGACTAATGTTGTCTGCCGTGGTCTCACTCCACCCTCCAGTCCTGGCTGCCTGTCTCACCTCTAAGTGATGCTAAATCAGTTCAACCCAGTAACCTGAACAGTTTCCTACCATCTTAGCAAGTTACAATGACTTGAAATACAGTAAATGAGCAGCAGAGAAACAAGCTGGCATGCACCATCAGAGTTCAGAGGGATGGAGTGACAGAGACTGCAGTAACCAACAGTCAGTCTGGTCTTGAACACTGTGAAGTGCAGCTGAAGACACATGAGCATTTTACTACTAGGTCTAAATATTAAACACGCAGGCTTCCTTAAAGCCACAAAATTACTAAATATTTAAGATTCTGAACTGTCCTTCACACTATTATTTTTTAACATTTTGTAGTGCTATCATTACAAATACTTAAGTAAAGAAAACCGTATTATAGATTGCACCATTTCAGGAAACACATTAATCCCTAACACGAAAATCAAGGAACAAGTTCCCGGAAAGAGAAACGTCCATACACTTCTTGCTCCAATTAAGCACTGTTTTAACTTCAAACCGACTAGTGTAGTAAGTCTCAGGGTTGAAATTTCATCACTGCTGATGGTCAAAAGCCAGTAGAACAGTGGAAATGTAGCTACTTTCAGTGATCATAAAGAGGTTGTATGATACTTCACACTTTGCTGCGACACTGCTCTAACTCAAAATATACCCGCTAAATTCAGTATGAGCTATCTACACATGAATTTTAAAAGACTCTAAGGCAGGCAGAGTGTTACATTTGTTATGCCACCACCATTTTTACCACAAGATAACATAAGGTTTTAATATGCTTCTGCAGTGTGGCATCCTGTCCTCATCATTATTTCCCATAGTAGAGAGATAAAGGAAATGTGGTTGACAGCTGTCACCTCAGTGTTTTATGCTTCAGAAGTTTCTGCTGCAGTTAATTGATAAAAATCATACAGACCTCACCTTTGTGGAAAAGGAGAAAAGAAGAACTTTATCCTTGTTTTTTCGGAAGTGATTTAAAAGCTGCTGAAGGACCTGTAAACGGACCACAGAAGACAAATGAAGAGGTTTTATCTACAGGTCACCTCACACACACTTACTTGGGTTTTCAACCTTACACAGGCTACACTGTAATTAATTGATTGCAAAGCCAGAGGCGCAAGAAAAAACATTATTAGCATAATAAATGTGCCACAGGTAATGGAGATGATGGACCCATGCATTTTTCAGTGTTCTACACAGAAATCCTGTTTTTAAAAGGCAATCGTGCCACTAACAGGTAAATTCAGAAGCTATTTCTGTCAGTGCATAGACTGGAGCAAAATGTTTCTTATCTCATGCTCTAGCTCAGCTTGTGAATTTTTGCATTTAACAAATGCATACACTTCCCCTGAAAACACAAAGGTCTATTTAAGTTTTCTGTACTATATCTGAATTCAAAACTTCTTGGAACTTGTCTTCTTAAAATAATCAGTGAGATGTATGCCCCTCCCTGCTCCCACTCTGGTCTGTTGCTCTGTTTACAGTAGGATCCAGCTTCCCAGACTCTGCACAGACCTTGAAATGCCAGTAATCCGCCCACACACAATGTTCTTCTGGTGGGGAAGCAAATAATCCAGAGCCTTGTGTATAATAGTGATACTGTTATTTTCAAAAGAAGCATGTCCACATCTGGCAACAGCAGCTCCAGAGTACCACGCAGAAGCAATACACAAAGGGAAAGGAGAAATTTTCTGTACCATGTCTATAGTGTTCTCTCACTGAGCAATAAATATTTAAAAAATTTTATTTATTCAGTGATAAATACATAAACTGTTAATCAATACTGATTCCACTAAAAGCCTAACAAATCTTTGACAACCAAATAATGGTGAATGTTTATATTAATTTTACATTTCTGGATAACATCTAGAATATAAAATACCAATTATACATCACTTATAAGCCCTTTTGTGTATGTTAGCCAGCCAGTTACAAGTGAAAACGAGGTACAAACAAGGTAATTTTTGCCTGGTGTCATTGTACAAGAACATATAAACCAGCCATTATTTTACTAGGAAAAAATCCACATCAGGTAACATAACAAGAGCTAAATGATGTACATTTGCATTTTATTTAGTCACATTAAAAAAAAAGAAACAGAAGAAAAACAGCAAAACCAGTGACATGCTTTTAAAGTAGAAGGAATACAGCTACTGTATTACCATTGTTACTATTAAAGTACAGGTCAAATAACTAATTTCCTATAGAAGAACATACAAACAAATCCACCCAGACTGTTTAAATAAAATGTTTTGGAATTTTAGGTATTGTGGAGTAAAGAACAGCTCTGGAGAACAGGGATAAGTAACAAATGGTTTTGCACCGAAGAGAAAGAAATTCTGTGCTTGTACACCAGAGTATTATCCTGAAAGCTGTTAGCCTGAAAAAGAAATACTTGATCATACTTTAGAAAAAATAACATAATCTTTTTAGAGTTCACATGGATTTAAATGTCTATCTCCCCATTACTACACATTGTGAGTTGTCTGACTGTGATGAAATTTTACTTCTCACATTTGAGAAAACCTTGTTTGTTTACAGATGTCCAAGTTATCATATGATGGTTTTAAGCCTTCAAACCCATACCTGTCTGGTTTATGGTTATGTTTAATAGCAGAAGTTACTATTATTTGCAAGGTGCTCTGATAGGCTTCCTCCGTTTTCCTACTGAAATAATGGTAGCATGCCAGGGAAATAAAAATAAACCAATCTAACATAGTTACTCTTAAGAGATTTATATTAAGAACAGTATTCCAAAACTCCACAAATGGTTGTCTGTGGAAATATTATACGTGTTGTTTAAAAAAACAAGTTATTTCAAGTGCCCAGACACTTAATAGCCCTTTTCACTTAGAAAGCATAGAGTCTCTCTGAGCCAGAATTTTAACAAACTGTAGAAATAATCAGACAAGGTAGTAATGAGAATTACTGCAGGCTTTTAAAACTACCCTCATTCATCCTACTTCTTTTCCATGCAGTCTCCAATACTTCTGTGTGGACAATCTCCAATCTTTGTTTCAAAACCAGTGGAATCGCTTGTCCTTACACTTTGTAGGTCTCCACTGTCTTATTTCATGATTGAGAAATGGTTGTTTATAAATAAGGCATCACACTCATTTCAATTTCCATATATACAACTATTTCAAGTTAAAAATCAAGGCATGAAATTCATCTTGCAATATAAAGTGTAAGCAAATTCTTCTGAAAACTGTATGTTCTGCAGTGTAATTGAACATGATGGCAGAATACCACAAAAAAAGCTGAAGCTCAGATCACGCCACTGTGTATTACCCACCTCCCACTGCAACAAGGACGTATAGGTATACCATCAACGCTTGTATGTGCACATTTGGATTATAGGGACTGTTTTTTCCAGACTCTTGTCATAATCTTAACTTCAGAACAGAAAACCTGGGGTGGCATGTTGTAAACACTACAGCTTGCAAAACACATAGAGAAGACTGCAGCCACAGCACAAGGTAGGACACAAACACCAATATACTCCTCTCTCACACTTGCATTCAAGCAATTCTAGTTTTAGTGGAAGCCATAGGTGTATTCCATAATACAAAAAGCTATGTTTCCCTGTGTGTTTTCTCTTTGCTTGGTAAGACAACAAGAGATACTTCAAGCAGATAGGTTAACCTTTTCAATTCTGCAAAACAGTTTCAACTGCTTAGCTAATAAATTTCATAGACAAATCCCAGCCTTTACTCCTTTACCCCAAATAAATTTAAATAAATACCACAAAATTTTCCTTTGAAAATATGCTCATCTACAAAAGAATAATCACCTGTGGCCAAAATTTCTGTGTACCCTGTATTAAATTTTAATTTCAAGGACTAAATAGTGCCTATTCAGTCTATACTACGAGATGAAAGTTACAGAAGTATTTCAATTAGTTTCTAAATTTATTTGTAGAATAGAAAATGTAAAGTACTACAGTGGGACAAGTCTATTAGAAACACTGCACTAACACTTATTTATTTCCAAATAAAAGTCTTAAAAATATATAAAGTAGTTTTCAAGCTCTAGCACCTGTTGACTCTCCTTTGATTACGTTCTGATAGTAAGAGTATCTTATAAATGAAATACTTTCCGAAGGACTTTGCTTCCAGAGCATGAAAACCCAAATCATCTCAAAAAGCTTCTGTGTTAAAATTCAGAATAGAAAACAAAAAAGCTGGACAATCTTTTCTCACAAGACAAACCTTCAAAGAAATCAGGAGGGAAAAAAAAAAACAAAAACAAAACCAAAACCAAGCCACCACCACCCCCTAACAATAAAATCCACACCATCAGACACCTACAAACCAATTTTTGGCATCATTATTACTTTGAAGTTAAAATTAATGGACTCAAAACCCACCTTATTTTTCAATGATGGCTACTTGGCCCACTACATAAAACTCTTCCTTTCAAGCACAGAGGTATCACCACACAGTTCAGAATGTTGTTTATACAAAGATGTACTTAATGAACTGACACAAAATTCAAGTTCCCCTTAAAAGAGAAAGCAGACCAATTTCTTTCAAGGTAATCAATTCTTTCAATAATTCTTGGATAAATTTTATCCAGTTTGCAATGGTCTGAAATAGGCACTATGAATCTCTAAAACAAAGCACCATATATACAAAACTAAAGGTCATCAACCAGGCTGTCATAAACACAGTATTTGAAAATGCTTCTGCTCTATAATTCATAAAGTAAAAACCAAACCAAACAAGCAGAGCCCCTCATAAATTCTTATGTTGGAGGAAAGAAAGGTCCATATTGCTTTGTACCTTTGCCTACTACTACCGCAGTGTAGCATCCAATCTGGCTTTTCTAAAAGGTTAGACTAATAAAGTGTTCTGTGAAAGAATTATAGCAATTTTTTATTTTCTACAGAAATTTATATTGCACTTCTCATCTCTCATCTACCAAGCATACTGAAGAAATATTTTAAAATATAAATATTACTTCAAAACATGAGACTGGATTTTAAAATCCAGTTTCCCATGATATACACTGCACTTTTTTTAAAAATGGAAATTCTCCCCACCAAGGCTCTTCTCAAGAATATGTCCTTATTTAGGTTTTGGGTTTGGGTTTTTGGGGGGGACTGTAGGTTTCTTTTGTCTCGTTCAGGGTTTGGTTCTGTTGTGTTTTTTTTTTTTTTTTTTTGCAACTACCTACAATCTATATTTAAAAATACCTTGAAATACAGGAATATTGATCAGTTCAGACCAATAACAAGCTAAAAAAATCAAAAAGTAAATAAAAAACCCAATATATCAGGAAAGTCTCTAATGAGATAGAATGAAGATGAGCATTAGATAATTCACTAACAATAAAAAAAATGCAGGAGTAATCACCACGCTAATAGCTCAGTATTTTAAATCATGTATTACTCATCTCATTCTACTTACTTTTGGGCAATTTACCCAGAAATGTAAATTGGCCTGGACCTTATCCACTGGTAGCCTAGAGATTCATTTTCTAACCATGCGGATCTCTTCAATGTCTAAACATTCAGCCTGCCTGACATCTCATCAGTATCAAGCCATCAGCACAAGTTCAGTATACTTAGAAAGATCACAGCCTAGGCTCTTACTCCAGCACAGCAAAACCTTCTTCCTTACCACCCAAGTCCACTGCACACAAGCATGAGAAGAGCCTTACTGCTACCAGCCGAGGTTACACCCAGCCCACGTAGCCCTGAGAAGATGATGCAGTCTATGCTGTCCCAGAAGCAACTCTGACTTACAGCTATGGTTTGGAACAAATTCCTCCCAGTAGGTAACTCTGTAAGCTGCAGGATTTAAAGGCACATAATGTTGGCACCTCTGCCTTAACTCAGGCATTTTTGCTTGCCTGTGTTGCACACTGTGTCAAAAAGCACATAATAAAAATGGTGTAAGGCAGTGCTGGAGTGAAGTATGAAACAGCACCAAGAGACAAGTTTCTAGAGAAAGGAAAATCAGTTTTAATCAATAAAAGAAGAGCTTCATAAGCATCACTTGAGATCATGGACTTAGTTTTTACAGGCATGTATTAAATATTTACTGGTAGCTAATTTAACAATAAAGTTGTCTTTCATGAGGTAATTAAGTGTATATAATAAAGCTAATATGCAGGCCTCTCGTGCAATAACAGAAAAGAAAGATGTTGCCTGCATGATAACCAATCAATAAAGTGGTAACAGCCATTACTGTCACAGAAACATGGCCCTGCCCACTGCTTCCCACCAGTCCCAACCAGCAACTGTGAATATCCAGGTTTACAGAGAGCAAAAACATAGTACACTCCATTCTGCATAGCTTCTCATCCACCATCTACCCTTAGCTCAGGAACACTCCTGAACCTGGCATGGTTTTCTTTTTAATTAGCTACATTAGACATTTTTTCCAGTTACTCATCCTGTTCTGCTCTGAAACCAGAGAAAATCACCGTTTTTGAGGTTACGTTTTACAGGTTTACACTTAATGTGTTTATTTTGTTCATCTTTAGCATGGCTCCTGTTAACTTCATTTGATGTCCAAAGGGTTAGAAAAAACAGTAAGCACTCAGTACATCTTCACCAGTTTCATGCTACTCAAGATTGCGTAGGTCCCTCTCACATTCATCCTAAGACATTTTTTCCAGGTTGGAGAGTCCCAGCCTACTTGGCTGCTTCTCTCCCACTGTACTGATCACCTTCGTGGCCCTTCTCTGAACCTTTTCAAGATCTAACATATGCTTTTTGAGAGGAGGGACTGGAACTCCCCACAATATTGAAGGTGTGTACAAATCATTAAGTGTATAATGATTTTGGTTTGCTCTCTTTTACTTTCCCAGATATTTCTGATTGCCACCAAATTGATGGTTTCATAGAGATATCTGTTGTAATATTAAGACCCCACAGAAATGCTGTAAGGGTCATTTCTGTGGCCAGTACCAAGTATATGAAGCTAACATCTTAGGATATCCTAGCATCACAGATCACTCTTACCCAGTCTTTACCCAGAGGCACTCTGATCCATGACAGGAGATACGGGCTGTGGTACCACCACCATAAACAGAATGATTCAAAACCCGCAACTATGAAGTCTGTATTTTCTTATATCCATATACTACAGCAGCAGATGTGCTACTAATACTTATTTTTCTTCTAAAAAACAGGTTTACCTTCATTTTTCCACTGTACTTTGGATCTGAAATTGTTTCAAAGGCTGCATCTTTGCTTAACTGCACAAAATCTGGAAAACTGGAAAACACCTGGCTGCACACCCGTTTGATATGTGCTTCCTGGAAGAAAAGCAGAAAAATTTTCAATAGGTGTTAAAAATAAGAGCTACACTGGGATACTAGTAAGCCACACAAGGAGGTAAACACTTTGAAACAAATGATCTGCCAAAGTAACTCAAGCAGAAAGAGTTATGTATTTTTATCCAGTTCATTACAGAAGTGCTGGATAAAACATATCCTGTGTGTTTCGTTTTGCTTCATTTAGAAAAGAAAGAGGATCTTAATCTGAAATCATAGATTCTAGTTACTAGAATAAGAGGTGTCCAAAATTTCTTCTTCTAGGCAGAGACTGCAATAGGACTGGACGGAATTGTCAGTAAAAGACAGTGAATCTCAAAGTACTGGCATATTGATATTTCAGTGGCTATTTAAACACTCAAATGTTATCATAACAAAAACTACATACACAATATACAAAAAAGAACATGAAAACTATTTTGGTATATATTGTGTATAAGGCTGCGGACACTAATAGGAACATTTCCTAAAAAGCAAAACAGCTTTAATGGAACAAACTTGCCAAACTTAGTTAGGATTTTCTCATTTCCATTCCTTTGTGGCTTCTAAGAGGAAGTGGTAACATCCCTAAATACCTTCACTCATTCTTGGGATCTTAAGGATCACAAACAAGTATTTTTAAAAACTGACATTTATAAGTCTTGTAGAATACTTGACATCGTAACAAGATAAACTGATACCGTTCTCTCTGATCATTTTCTACTAAAACATGTTTCTCATTATTTAAAGAAGTTCAGCTCTGAATATACAGTACTAAAGAACAAACTCCACATCCCAATTGACTATTATTTATTTATTTGCACAAAGACAATTCTTTTACTAGGCACTTGTCATAATTGGAACAGAAATGGCACTAATAGAAATCACAAAATCATTCTCCTCCCTAAAGCTCTCCAATATTTCTATAACCCTTATTTTCAGATACGCATCAATGAAATAAACATACTGTTATGTAACATCTCTAGCTGTAGGGGCTGCATTCGGAATTACTGAATGGAAAAGGAATTTTGCAAAATATCTTAGTTTCAGTTAGTTAAGACTTTAAAAGGACCCCACTTTCCACAAGTCCATTTTTTAGATACTTCTGAAACTAACCTGCTGCTTACTAGTGCTGTCCGTCTGCAGCAGTGCGGCATGATTTGCAACCTTCTGTAGGATTGTCAGGTAACTGAAGCGCAGTGACTTAATTGTTTCACCATGAGAATTTACCTACCAAAAAACAGAATGTTTATGCAAACAAATATTCCTGAAAAGAAATAATCTCAAAAAAATGCTATTCTTACAAGGTTTGATGCATTAGTGATTCTAAGTAGTACTGTAATTGATCCCAAAGAGATGCATACTGTATTTCTAACAAAAATGTAGCACGGTGGTTTTTTTTTTTCCCCTCAGCTTTGTGATCCTCTTAATGGAAAACATCATCTTTAAAAGAAAAAAACCTCACAGCTATGTTCATAGTTTGATAAACATTTCAGACAGCATAACTACAGAAATTACTAAGACAACCAAGAATTCCTCAGTAGACAAAAAGATAGTAACATTACAACTGATTTAAATGTAAATCAAACCGGAGCTGTTTGAATGACTTATTATGCTACAACGGCTAACTAATTTACTGTAAAAATGCATAAAGTTTTATAAACATCTCAAGTAACATAACTCAAACAACTTCAAATATTCTACAATGCAGCAGCAGCAGCAGCAGGTACTTTTCTGGTTATGGTTGGCTGATTTGACCAATATTCATTTTCCTTTCCCTTCTCAAGTTACTGAATTTCACTGTTAACTTTGGAATAAGACAGTCTGTAACAGCATTTAAGTATCTGCAGGCCTGCCTACTGCCCTTTGTGAATCAAGTCCAATGGCATTTTATTTTTTACAAAACATCACAAGAAACAGAAGCCTGCAAAGAACTAATGCTAGTATCCATGACATATTAAACAGGCTGATAGCTGGATTGTTTTTAAAGAAAGATGCAGATGACTGAGTAAGCTACATCATTTGAAAAAACCCACCACTACACAAGAATCAAAACAGGCTAGAGGGAAAACAGGGAAAAGCAAGTATGAGACATATTCTTCTAAATATTTAAAAGATGTGCTTAATCTGAGCCTACTGAGTGATATGGGCAAAACAAATACAAAGCTAGACTAATTGAGTGTTAAAGAAGTCCAGAGAAGATAGAGAAATCTGCCATGCTGATACTAGTGAACAATGTTCTCCTTGTGCAATATGGCTGCTGTCACAGCTCTCCCTTCAAAGAAGCAAAGCAAAGCGCATGTTTAGCGGCACAGAAAGACACCAATCCAACTGCAGTTGTAACACAAGAAAAGCCCAGACAACCTGCTGGGTCCACGGTGTCTCTGATTTGCAGGTTCTGCATGGACTGCCTGGGACACATAGGGGCAGCACGCCTGATGCATACTGAACATCCCAATGCAATACCCTTGCCAACATCAACTATATCACAGGTGCACTTATTAGTGCAACACATCCTAGAATTTACTGCATAAATAACAACCACCTGCTCAGAGTATGCAAAGCAGCTCTGGTGTAAGCCCAAAGTGACTAACTCCATCAAGCTTATGATGCAGCCACCTATGTTTCCAGCTGGGATTTCCCAAACTGATGGCCTGCCACCACACAGCCATTTCAGTAAGTATTCATCAGCTGAGAGACTCTAGAGACTATGTTTTAAAATCCAAACAGTTCAAGTTCTTACTTTGTAACAACAGTTCTTCCTTTTTCGGCCACTGTTGCAGTTACAGGGCTCTCCTGCTTGTAATATTAAGCTTACATCCTCTGTCTCTAGCACAGCCTGGTACACTGCTTTCTGGAATTCTGTCAGGGAACAGTACACCATCTGCCAAAGAAAGGACCCCAAAAACACAATTATGTGCAGCATACAATAAAAAGCAAAAAAGCACTGCAGCAAAAACCGTAAAACGTGGAACATTGAAAATAAAGTAGAAACAAGAATATATTTGCTTAAATAGTTATAGGAAATTACCACGAAAAAACATGGATCTTGACACCAGAATAGCATGAAATTGTAGCCAAAATGTACATATGCGTATTTTATCCCCCTCCAAAAAATTCTATAAAGACTATCAATGTCAAGCTACAAGAAATTGCTGTTAGGTTTCTATAAACCTTTCAGTATGGTTTTTATGGAGGTATAGGGGGAAGGAAAATGAGAGAAATAAATGCATAATTGTAATTAGAGATTCCCCTCTGCTTTGACAGTTACTTAATTTGTCCTTTCTTTCCCCTTTCTAGGCACTAGCTGTTGTAGGGTACTACTACAGGCAGGACAAACAGAATAAGCAATGAGAAGGCAAGTATCTACACAGTGCTATGGACAAAACTCTTATCCCTCTTCTTAGAGACCATGGGTGGCATCTCCATGACATCTTTAGTCTTAACAGCAGGAGACAGAAATCCCAAGATCATTCCTTAACCTAGGCCACCCACACAGCAGCAGCACCATGCTGAGCTATAATAACACAGCAGTAACTTGAACATATACTCACATTAACAACAGAATGAATAAAACTTGCTAGATTTAGAAAAGTGATTGACTGACGCTTGTGCTAATCTTTCCTTCAGAAGACAGTTTAGATGACATTATTATACACTAAGGATAAAGAATAAATATCAAATTTTGAAAACAAAACCAGCTGCAAACAAATGTACTTGTCTACTTACAAGGACAGCACAAATATACATAATACGAATTCCTCAGAACTCTTAGCTGTAGTCATAAACTATTATCACTTCATATAATGTTTACAATAGCATTAGATGAACAGGATTACAGAATCAATAATGAGTTTTAGATTTGGGGTTTTCTTTTATTTAGTGATTAAAAATGAGGGAGTTAAAAATGAAAAGCATACTCTTCCATGCACAAAGTGTCAAGCTGCAAATTTAGAAGTCTTACACAGAATTTAAAGAATTTACATGCATTGCATTGGGTTTACACAGATAAGTACAAAAGTGCACATAAAATAGATGTGTAAATCACTAGTTAGAAGTCTAGCTGAGCATTTTCATGCCTGATTAACTCCATTTCAACACGCAATCATAGTAATTATGTGAACAAAGCACACAACTGCAAGTGCATTTTCTCTAAGACTCTGGTTTCCTCTTAAGTTTGTAAGTCCAAAAGAAAACCATAAACTACTACAGGCATGATAAATGAGAGAAAACACAACAACAACAACAAAAATAAAAAGAGCTATATTCATTAGTATTGTATTTGAAATGTGTGGGCATTCTTACTCTGTCTTCCTTTTTTGGCAACTGATCACTGATAAGCGCTTTGGTACGTCTCAGAAACCAGCCAGACATTTTTCTTGCTAGCTTCACCATCGCCTTACGACCTGTTGCTAGCTCTCTTTTAGTTGCAGTGTGCCTCTGGCCATGCTCCACTGGATCAGAAAATTTCTTCTTGAAATGTACTCTGCTACCCAGAAGTCCTGGTACAGCCCTATTAAAAAACAAAGCAGGGTAAGGGGGTGGGGTGTGTGTGAAGGAATAACAGCGTTTTCTTTACTCCAAGGCAATCTATCCTCCTCCATTAATTAAAAGCACACCAAAAATTGTTTCTGGCTAACAGCAAGAGATCTTAAATTATCAATCACTAGAGAACTGAATAAAAATGGTATATATAAATAGAAACATATACTACTTCCAGACATGCTATTTTTTTCATTTACTTTCTGTGACCCTCAAATGTTATGAGATTCCCCTTATGAAAAGGGTTGCCATCTCCAGATAAATGAAAGCTCAGCAGACCAGTAGAAGTCACAAATATATAGAACCTCATAACTACAACGCTGCTACTGTTCCAGGAGCCTAAACCAGAAACTAAGTAGTCATGTTTTCAATTTTTACTGGTTTTGCTATAATCAGGTTATGCAGATATTACAATAAATTGTAATTAATAAAATGTAATAAATGTAAAAAAATGTAATCAATAAAATCTTAAGAAAGTCACAAAAATAATTCAATAATCACTGGCAGCACTACATATTGGCACAATCTATTAACAACATCAGCATAGTTTTATTGGACCGGATGCAACACTAAGCTTGCAGTTAAAGTCTTTCCCGGTATTTCAATTCAGTCTTTACATCCTTATTTGCTTTGTTCCTCCTCCACAAGGCACCCCCAGTAAATCTTCTATGTTTAGATTTGTATTCTAGGGTTAGTTCAACCTCTCCCTCTCCACTAAAAGTTTTCCTGAACAAAACTGTTGCTCTACTAGTATGTGCACTTGTGCATTTTGAAAAACAGCAAAACACTACAACTTTCACCTTCCAAGTCAGTCAGAATGACCTGCATATACTGAACGGAGCAAAGGCACAACATTCTTCAAAGCTGTGTAATGATTCTCTATCTACTGTGCAGAGTACAGAAGAAGAAAAAAGAGTATCCTTAGAAAAGAATGGTAAATGTGGGGGAAAAAAAAGAAAATAATTTTAACTGCTTCCTAAATTCTCCAAGGCAGCCAGATAGGAGGAGCTCCAAATGCATTAAACAACTGCAAAATTCATACCTGGAGCTTACCTCCATCAATGTACTGGAAAAACATACATTCTCATAGAACATTAGTTTTTTTGTGGGGGAGAGTTGTGGGTTTTTGTTGTTTTTTTTGAAAACAAATGGGTTCATACCATCCAGCTCTATCCCAGTCCCACTGCACGGCTAACATATAGAGGTATTTAACCATAAATAAAGATATTTTATTTACCAGTCCATAACACACCAAAGTTCCTTCATATTGTTTTGAAGAATGGTTCCAGTAAGACCTATGCGAACACTGCATTTTAATGACTTCATGGTTTGAGTTATTTGAGCCTTTGGATTCTTGATTCTATGTGCTTCATCCACTATTACAGCAGACCATTCTACACTGCAGATCAAAAGAAATATTATATTAACTAAAACTACTTATCCCACCATCCCACATACACATAGAAAGTGAAGTCAGTCACACAAGTAGCTGTGATTATTATAAGACAATATTACTTTTTGATTTTCCTGTTTTACATTGTATTATACTACTCAGTTTCTTTATATTCTGTTTGTTTGGTAAATTCAGTTGTCATAGTTCAATATAATGGCTGAACTACATAACCAAATAAATGAACTACTATTAACTGTATCAAATGTTTTCTGTGAAGAAAGCAGCTTTCAACCTCTGGAGCAATCAGTCCAGCACACCTCATCATCACTAATTTCACTCATAAGTAAGATACAGAAAAATTGAATAGATCTCTGAAGGTAAACTATAGAAACATGCTTAACACAGGTATGCTTAATTTTTCCAACAAAACCTATCCAGTGTAACTAGAAGTAAACTGAAAGCATATCAATCTGCATGGTTTCCTACATGACCGCATCACTTAACTTCTTTACTATCTATGATACTAATATGGTAGAGGAATTCCAGTATTTTGTGATTTTGTGACTGGTAGGAACATATCTAGGAACAGGGACCAAAACATATTTTGCAGCCAGTTCAAGCATAAAACTTGGAGGTAGAATGACCTATATACTGTGATACTAATTTAAGTCAAACCCTTAGAAAGAGATTTATTAACTTTACGAGACCACTTTATATATATCTGAATGAGTATTTCAGAACAAAATTGTATCCACTTAGATAATACTTCAAGCAGCAAAAAGCTGAAACAGACATGTTTAGAAGGAAACCTCTCTCCTGAGCAGGCTGCATTTAGTTTACTAACCTGCAGGTTGATCTTGTGGCATTTTTGATGCTGGATAAATACAGTCATTCATATCTGTGGTTCTTATATTCCTAAAAGCTGCTAAAAATTGGAGTTCCTGAACGGAGCCTAACAGATGAGCATATGCTAGCTCCTTCAATTTAACCTCTCATTACGCTTACATGCATAACTGAGTCTATGTATACTTATTAATGATAATTATTTTTGACCAGTTTTTGAGGGCAATGCATCATCCTAGCTAAGCAAGGCATATAACCTCTATTAGTGTCAAGATCACAGGCTCATCCAGTCACATGCTCTGCAGAAACAGTTCAGTCAATCTGTATGCATCTGTATTTGCAAGCAATCAGTCACATCAGATCTGCCCTGCACATGCACCTACTTCCTGACCACTGTCTATTCAATAACCAAGGCTGAAGAGTTCCTTGGAAAGACAACAGTAAGAATTAGGATACTACTAACATAGCTCCTTTAGTCTCCTGTCTGCACTTCTCTTTCAGACCTGACCACAGAGGGAGATGGAGATCCAATTGTTTTTGTGATGGCTGTCCAGACCACTGCGACACTCTCTGGTGCCTGGACCCTTTCCAACATCTAAAACAACAAGATCTGAAGATCCACGGGCAACACCACCTGCTCAGGGCAGACTGCTACTACTAGCTATTCACACAACTTGTACTCTACTTTCAAGATGACATAAGAAAAGAGGACCACAAATATCAGATGAGAGGCTAAGTACTCCTGAGCATAGACAGAGAAAGGGCAAAACTCCTAGTTTCAAAATGCTGACAGCTATGGAGCAAATAAACTAGGATTTCTAATACAATCTGCTGTCAGGAAGACCTTGATTCTGCTAAGGTATTTAAAACTATACACATATACACACACATCCCTTCTATCTCAAATTTTTTAGGACTCAAGAATTTCATTAAGCTGATGAAAAATGCACATAACAAGAAAAATACCTTTTTGAACATTTGCTAAAAATTCCAGATTATTTTTCTCCTTACACTGTACTGAAAGATAGAAATGCCTTTGGCATATCTTTTACCTACTACCTGTTTTCAGACAAGCAATTCCTGCATATTTTAGAGAACACTTCACTAATAGGTTAACAGCAAAAACTAGCTTTATGAGCTGTTCAAATACTCACTTCTCCCAAGTATCCCACTACAAAGATAGTATAGGATAAACTCCCCAAAGATAGTTAAATGGGATTCTCCTCTTCAGCACAGTAAGTCACTGGATTTAACAGCAAATACATTACACAGAAAGAGTACTTCCAAAGAACAGTGCAAAACTAGACAAAAGTTGTGTGTGTAGAAAAATACGTTAAAATCATTACCTGTTAAATTCATCCAAATACAGGCGAAGTATCTCATATGTTGTAAGGGCAACTTCACATTTCCCTTGCTTGATGCGACTCAGGTCATCATCTTTCTTACTGCCATGTAAGACAGAGACCTTAAAGTACCCCCATGTGTCTAACTCATCTTTCCAGTTGTACAACACTGAAAGAGGGGCCACTATGAGGAAAGTCTGAAAACAAACATAGCACTGCCTCAATAAGGAAAGTAAAAATCTTGAGATTTATTTTACTACTTTGAACAGTTTGAATTGTTTAATTCTGTCACTTCAAAGCATAGAAAATATGTGAAGAGTCAATATATATTCAAAAGTAATCAGTTTACTCAGAATATGTAAATAATACAGAATACAAATATTGTAATAGTAAAAAACCCAACAAAGTATTGCTACTTACTCAAATTATGCTTTAACAACTGCACTAAGACATGAGATACTATCACTTTGCTTTGTTACAGCATCTCTGCTGCTATACCATAAAACATTTTACAGATGGAGAAAACAAAAGGTTGAAGAAGGTAAGCAGCTTCTTACAATCCACAAATCTAGTCATCATATGACTTCAAAACAGAAAGACCTGAAAGGGTTTAAAAATTTAAGACAGCTCATACAACTCATTTAATATCACAGAACAATAAAACTGGTGCGGTGGGAAGGGACCTTAGGAAATTTCTGGTCCAACTTTCTCATTAAAGAGGGGCAACACTGAATTCTGACCAGGTCATTTAGGGCTCTCCGAACTAAGGTCTTCAAAATCCCACAAAGTCCACAACCTCTCTCTGTGACCTATTCCAATACTTGATTGTCCTCAAAGTGAAATTCTTCTCTTATTCCCAGTCAGAAGCATTCTTGTTTTTTTCACATGAAGTGCTATCCCTTAACCTCTTCCTCTCTGCCTGTATTTCCTGAGGAACCTGTATCCATTATTCACAGAGCTGTAGTTGTATGAACCATTTTGCTAGTCAAATACTCCAATTATTCCAGTAAAATAAAAACAGCAGTGGAAAAGAGAAATTTCATAGGTTCTGTGATCAGTAAAAACAGAATGATCATCATATCTCTCTCATTCACACGGAAATTTTACACATATCTTTATTTGCTGTAACTGTATTTGATTACCTAGATTATTAGTCAGAGTTACTTCTGACATTATGACAGTCAATCAAGAAAGTATTAACAATAAATCTTCCAAATGCATGCATTTGCCTTATTTAAATATCCTGTTGATATAGACACAAACGCTTTTTGTACTTTAGAAACACAATCATACAAAACTGTCATTTTCTACTTACTGACACAGGCTTTTCAAAGTATTCTAGCCAGAAATCTCATCCAGATATTTCCAAATATTTTGTGTTAGTGCACACCTACAATATTAACACATTAAACAGTAAATGCTAAATAGTGCACTACAACTGTCCAGAAAACTGAAGGCTTCCCTAACACTACTAGGAAGGACATGAACCCCTAAATCTACTTAAGTAGCTGAATTTTAAAAATGAATATACAAAAACTCCTAAAGCAAACAAACAAAAATAATCCAAGTATTGCCTTTTACCAAAATCCTTAAGCTTCTATCATTAAAAGCTGTACCTTCTTGGGGTTACACTTTGATTCTTTTTTCATTGTCCTCAGTAAAAATTCTGGCATATTATTTTCAATATCCTCACGTGTTCCCTTTTTGTGCAACACTGCAGCCAAAAATGAAATGACCTTGAAAAAGAAAACAATTCTCAGTGATTATGCACAACAATGCAAACAGAAATTGAGTGAATTCCACTGAAAATAAACATTTAGGACAAAATCCTGGATGGGATTTAGTAAAGTGGTTGGGGGGGGGGGATTGGGTTTTTTGTTTGGGGGTGTTTGTTTTCAATCAATCAATCAATCTCCGTTCTTAAAATAGGAACCCTCTCCCTTAGACAATTCTGAATTCACAATAAAACTAATTAATTGCTCTATTCTACTCTTTCATCCTCTAAATGGAAAAGTCCCAAAAATATAGAAGAGACTATGAATGAGCCAGTCAAAACTAGAGATGAGGAATGCCTTGCAATTCTTCTCCATTTTCAGGAGAAGGCTTGAATCTTAGATGAGAAGACAGAAGGGATACTTGCAAACTATACTCCCCACACTATTTCTGCAAAAGGAAGAAGAGGTTAAAACTAGAGGTTAGATTTTTACTAACATGTCTTTTTCTGTATGTTCCATTCCTTCCAATTCCTGCTGTTAGCTTCAAAACCAGTTCTTTCTATTGTATTTGGGCTATATTCCCTTATCGGCCTCAAACCAGCCAAGGTGATTTCCCTTTGATTCTGAGAAGACACTTATTATAATGCACCACAGTAAGGACAAACATCCCAGCATAGGCTATTCCAAGCTGCTCCCATGATAATTCAAACCATGAAGAAGGCACAGTTATCTGTCCAGAACATACAAATCTGTAGAATCCACTTGGGATAAATGGTATCCACAGGGCTAAGCGCCAGCAAGGACCTGATGCATCATTAGAGGTGCCCTTCTTTTGAAAACTCAACCCCTTTATGCAGAGCAGCCAGATCCAGCCATTTCCTTTTGCAGCTGCTACACAGCTGCGCATAGCAGGGCAGAGGTAAAGCTGTCAGCTCTTGAGTTTTGAAAAAAAGGAAATTTCCAGAGCTTTCTCCCTATAATGATGGGGGTAGAAAAGAGTCAGCCAGGAGTGCAGAAGTGCAGGAAAAATACCCAAGAAGAGTAAAGGGAGATGAGCAAAAGAGAGGAAAGCTATCACATATGGGGCCACAGGGTGGGAAAGAGATATACAGAGAAAAGAAAACTTTTTATACACAATTATCTCATATAAACTGAGGCTAGGAAGAACTGCAAGTTTGCGCATGATGTTTGACTTTATTTTTTTTTTTTAATCTTTTGGAGAATAAGAATATAATTCAACTGAACATAAAATCTCCATGTGTCTTCCAGATCCCCCATTTTTGGAAGAATTATGCATCACAAATTTGTAACAACAGCAAAGGCTGTAAAAGAGTAACTCTGCCGAGAAACCTTTGGCTCTTCCAGATAAAGCAGGAAGCAACATTAAAGGCCTTGTTACGAAACCAACTTACTGCAATCACATTAAGAAACAACATTATTCTACTTGCCTGCACCTTAACCTCACCTTGAAATAAGAGCAACATAGAGTCAGGCTAATTTAAGCAAAAATCAGTTCAGAAGTATAAAGAACATTAAAATGCAACAGTTCTCTAGAAAAGTCTTTTCCTCATAAATCATCATATAATTCAGAAACAATACCATGCAGTCAACTGATAAGCATGACAAGTTTTCTGTAAGACTAAATCAGTTACTTGATGAAGTTTAACTAGTATTTATTCTTTCATGCATACTAATCTTTTCTAAACAAGTGAAATGCACCCCACACCTTTTACTTCAAAACCTCTACCTTTCTTCTGCAAACTTAACACTGTGATTAAAAGAAATAATCATCAGATGTGAATTCCACACAGGAGTATGTGAGATATCACACTGTCACTGTGTGATAAACATGACCAGGTCACTCCAGAATCAGCTCCGAGATTCAAAAAATACAAGATATGCAGCAAGACAACTCAATTTCCCCACCCCCGTTTACTACTATCTTATATAGATGCTTCTTATTATATGAAATCAGATTATTTGCAGTTCTTATTAGAAACAAACTTCCATAACTAGAGAGTTCTTAAACTGTTATGGACAAGAAACACAGTCAAGCTTAGGTAAAACAGGAGGTAAATGGATGCAGTTTAGTTTTAACAAACATCTGTTAACAGATCATCAACACCTACACAAATCCCTGATGCACCTCTAAATGCTCTACCAGGAGAAGTTTTGTCTGCCAGTTTAGTTTGCTCACTCCTCATGCCAAGTTTGCTACAGAAAAATACTTTTCAGTGAAGGGTGTCTATTGACATTTTCCTAAATGGAAGGGCAACAGACACTACAGCCAGTATTTGTCAGTGAAGGAATGAGCTTGCATTTGACACATGGAGAGAGAAAAGAGAGGGGGACAAAGACTAGTCACCATAGGATTCAAGCTGCTAACTTAAAAACAGACAGATTAAAGAGAATTTTCGAACATAAAAAGACCCCAATTTTAGTAGAATAAATAAATCATTTGGGCCACACTGATTCAAAGCATAATGGAAAAATACAGCTATACTTTGCCCTTTCATCAATGCAAGTTGTATTTCCAAGAGAGTGATAAAAATAACATGGAACATCTAAGCACATTTTCCAGAGATGGGAATAAACATGTCTGCTCCTTCTCCATCCCAGTACAGTTAAACTATTTGTTTAGAGGAAAAAAGGAAAATGACATTTAAAGAGCTACAGTCAGATAAGGGCTGTAAGTACTTTTAGCATACTCCTGTGCAAATAACTTTCACAATGCACAGGTAGCAATCCTCAAAGCAAATTCAAAATAAAATGAATACTAACATTTTAACTACCGTAATTACCCATGCTTACACTAAAAGGTGCCACATCCCAGTTTAGTGGCCCATTAGGAGTGAATCTTACATCAGCTCCTGGCTCTAAGCGCTGTCCTGGACAGGCATATCCTGCCTCTTCAAACTCCACAATAGCAAAGGAAGGTTAAGCTCCACGGAGGTGGCTTTTATTAACTCACAGAAAACACACTGCCAAAAAAACAGTGTCTATTATCTCACTGTAATAATCAGAAAGAATACCTGTATTGTCTTTCCAAGGCCCATATCATCTCCAAGAATACACCCCCTTTTATTAGCATAGTGTCCATACAGAAATTGGGCTCCTTCCCTTTGATAATCACGCAGGTATCTGTTAATTGTATACGGGATAAAATCGCCATTGTCAGATAATTTAAAAGCAGCTGCAGGAGACAGAGTATTTCGGTCAGGAAAATAGGGTTTTTCCAGATCACCATCGTCAAATATTAAGCTTTTCCAGGGTCCTCTACTGGCTTTGACTCTACAAAGTTTAGTTATTAGTATTTTCCTTTCATCAAATTCCAAGAATGATACAACAGCAAATAATTTTCCATTCTGGTCCTTTTCAATAGAGGATATTGTTCCTTCATGAAGTTTCCCATTTTCAAGGCAAGGGGCAAGGCATTTCTCCCCAATATGCCAATTATCTATAAAAACAAAACAAAACACACACACATAGTGATAAAACAGCCAGATGTAAAAATTATTTATTTTTGTCACACTAATAAAACATAGGATGTAAATTTATCTGACAAAGTGTATACGACTTAAGATAAAAATTTTACTTAAGGTAGCATTAGAATCAACATACCAATTACTTCTTAGAACCAAATCCTGAGCTAGACTTAAAATTATAGTTTGATGAAATATCACTATTTTATGAATATCTGAAAGTCTGTATGAAAAAATCCAATGTAAAATCCAATGTAAAAGCCAAATTCTGATACAGTAAGCTGTTAATCAGTGGCCTCACAGAGGCAAATACTAAAACACTGATGCCGGCAAGTTTAGTGTCCAATTAACAGAATACGTGACCTGGTCAAAAAGGCCTTCTATGCTAGACACACTTCTATCTGAATCTAATACTGCAGTGTTAGTAAATTGTTTTGTAACTGTAATCACATAGAAAGGCATCACCTTTCTCATAACAAAATCTGGAATAGGTGAAAAAAAACCACAAAAACTTATGTTAGAAACAACAGAAGTGTACTTTAAGAACATACAGTAGGGTATCATTTGTCTCTACTGTTCATCGAAGTGGCTAATTACTCAGTACACAGCTTACAGAGCTGTCAAGTCTGGAACTGTTAAAATCTGTTCCTCTGTGTGGTCTCGCTACAGCCTTAATAAAGCATATCAAATATTAACAAGAGAGATGACTGAACTGCTTCATTTTCAACTACTTCATTTTTATATTTCACACACAAAGATAATTTTTAAATGGTATGTATGCTGATAACAGAGAAGTTAAGAACAGCAGCGTATCAGAGTCCAAAGAATCCACATTGTACTGACAATGAAAAACCCCAAAAATGCCTCTATCAAAAAAAAAGAGGCCTTCATAGTAAAATGAGAAAGACCTCATAAATAACGGTTGCACATGAAGTTTTCCAAATTTGAACTGAGGAACTGTTGTCCTCTTGAATATGTGGAAATAATTTCCAAATTTCCCCTGCTCAGCCATCCAAAACCAAGAAAAGGACACATGATTAATTTCAGAACTTTTCTTTTTTCTTATCTATTTGTTGGAATAAGTTCTGCTACTTCTGAGAAAGTCATTATCAGTAGCAGTGTGTTGTGGTTGCAAGCTGGCTGGGAGTCAAAAACCAGGCAGCCGCTTGCTCACCCTCCACCACCCTGGGGAATGAGGAAGAGAGTTGGAGGATTAAAGGTGAGGAGGTTTGTAGGTTGAGTTTAAAACAATTTAATAATTACTTTAATGTTATTTTACTTCAATGATTGTAACAATAATGGTAATAATAGAAAACACAAATGAGTAATGCACAGTGCAACTGCTCACCACCCGCTGACTGATGCCCAACCTGTTCCCAGCTAGTGATCCGAGAGAAGCAGGAATCCCAAAACCACCATCCCAGAAATGAAAGCAAGATTCCCGGTCGATCCTCATCTGACATATATATTTTTATATATATGTATGTTATACTGAGCATGACGATGTATGATATGGAATATTCCATTGGCCAATTTGGGCCCACTGCTCTGGCCGTGCTCCCTCTCAGCTTCTTGTGCATGTGTACTAACAGGACATGAGAAACTGAAAAGTCCTTGATCTCTCAGCAACAACTAAAAACATCAGTGTATTATCAACATTCTTCTCATAGCAAATCCCATCCTGATTCCAAAACACAGCACTATTCTAGCTACTAAGAAAAAAAAAATAAAAAATTAGCTCTATCCCAGCTGAACCCAAGGACACAGTGAGAGGCACCTAAAGTTTTCATGGGAAGGAGCAAGTTGGAGAGAATCTTGCATCAGAGTAAGTATTCCTACTTCACATCTATGATCCGTGGCAGTATGCCTTTCTGGGAGTGTCAAACCAGTTAACTTTTCAGAGGTACAGGAAAAGAAAAGAGGAAGTCCTGAGGGCAAGAAACTCCACCCTTCTGCAATTTTATGTCTCAGTGCAAAAAACTCATGGAGAAGATAGTTCTGGAGCTCCTGGAATTCACCAGTTCTGGAGCTCCTGGAAGTGTATGCTCACAGGGTAATTCTTCAAAATGTATTAGATAGACCAGAGATAACTATACTTCATTTTTAAAATGAATTAATATACACTAAAAGAAAACAAAAACATCCACGTAGCCCACTATTCTGCAACCAGCAGTGCCCGTAAGTTGACATCCAGGTAACAATAAAAACAGCACAAGCATAAGGAATATCTCACTTGTAAAATTCTTCAGCCTTAAGGTATTCTTTTAGCTACAGAGATTTCCTGGGCCAAGTGTGGTTTGTCTGTTTAGCAAGCCCAAGCAGACCTCCTTCTTCCAAGTAATTCCATTTCCCCTTCAACACGTGCGGACTTCTTGCATTCGGTGTCTTCTGTCTACCTTTTGCAGGTCTGCTCTCTAATACCTGCCAAGCCCGCTATGATCCCACAACCTAAACTGATGGCCCATCAGTTCTTTCACTAACAAGATCATAAACCACGACCTCTTTGTTAGACTCATCATCTCTTTCATAATGTCTCCCCATCCCCCCTTACTTGAGAAGTTCAGCCCCACACTCTGTGACCTGTACATAAGCTGCTCCATACCTTCAGCCATTCCTGCTGATCTTCTTGGAGACTTGAAGCACAAATGTATCTTTTTGAGGCAAGGTGTGAAATACAGACAGTATATTCAAGAAATCATACGTAACTGATCTCTTAAAGGCACTTGTACTGTCTCGCACACACGCTCAGATCGATGCAAAAAGATGTGCACATGAACTTCTCCCAGTAGCATCTAAGTCTTTGAGCAATTTCTCAAAAACATGAAAAGACTGAAAAGAATGAAACCAGTTACACACCGCACACTGTTACATATGCAAAACAAAGTTCAAAATAAGAGAGCATTTCCATAATTACTTTCTTTTACAGTAATATCTGAAGAGACATGTCACATTAGTTTAAAAGACTCTCAAGTTAAAACTACGATTTAAGATGACAGTAACTTTGTTTTTAACTAAGCATTTCCTTGAGTTGCATGTGACTTGCCAGAATTAGAGTTCCAGGTGCAAAGTGAAATAAATTGTATTGAGTAAGTTTCAGTGTTACCAAACTCCAAACCTAGTGAGAAAGAAGAGGGAAAGGAGAAGAGGGAAAGGAGAAGAGAAGAGGGAAAGAAGAAGAGAAGAGGGAAAGAAAAAGAGAAGAGGGAAAGAAAAAGAGAAGAGGGAAAGAAAAAGAGAAGAGGGAAAGAAAAAGAGAAGAGGGAAAGAAAAAGAGAAGAGGGAAAGAAAAAGAGAAGAGGGGAAGAAGAAGAGAAGAGGGGAAGAAGAAGAGAAGAGGGGAAGAAGAAGAGAAGAGGGGAAGAAGAAGAGAAGAGGGGAAGAAGAAGAGAAGAGGGGAAGAAGAAGAGAAGAGGGGAAGAAGAAGAGAAGAGGGGAAGAAGAGGAGAAGAGGGGAAGAAGAGGAGAAGAGGGGAAGAAGAGGAGAAGAGGGGAAGAAGAGGAGAAGAGAGGAAGAAGAGGAGAAGAGGGGAAGAAGAGGAGAAGAGGGGAAGAAGAGGAGAAGAGGGGAAGAAGAGGAGAAGAGGGGAAGAAGAGGAGAAGAGGGGAAGAAGAGGAGAAGAGGGGAAGAAGAGGAGAAGAGGGGAAGAAGAGGAGAAGAGGGGAAGAAGAGGAGAAGAGGGGAAGAAGAGGAGAAGAGGGGAAGAAGAGGAGAAGAGGGGAAGAAGAGGGAATGATAGCATTAAGGACACCATTGCTATAAAACCTCAGAAGACAATGCTATATAAGCCACTGCAAGAATTGCTACTTTAACAAGCCTGATTCATTAACTTTGTTTTTGAACCAGCACTATAATTTGTGTAGAGAGCTATCTTTAAAAATGAAGAAAATTAACTGGTATGGCTTTCTAGCATGGGTACAGTGCCATCAGTGAAGAAAGTTGGTATTTCAGGTATCAGCCTGCCTATACTTAGCCCCTTTTACCACAGCTGGGGAAAAAAAAAAAAAAAAAAAAGGTGCCATTATATATATTAACTGTACTAAATCATGCTGATAATGGCCTGCTGTCAGACACTAGCTCCTTTCACCAGTCACTCCTATACAAAAAAAAGGCAAAACTATCATGAATGCTTTCTAACTATTGAGGTCTGACACCTTAATGTAGACTGCAAAGATTCTTCTTATACTCCAATAAATTACAGTAAAAGCAAAATTCAAAGATACAATAAAGTAAAAGCATTGCCATTCTTAAGGTGTAAAGCTTAACTACACAGTTAACACACAAAAGAGGCTAAAATAAAACTCAAAATGTTCATTTCCAAAAAATGTCAAAGCAGGATGCTCTGAGTTCGCTTAACCACGTTTCCACTTGTTGCAACGAACAAACTCAAAACGTATGCTTCTGACAAGCAGATCTGATCTAAAGAGAGATTCCTCAGTATTTCTAAACCGTATACACCACCACACCTTTCCAACTCAAGCCTCGCCACCAGGCAAGGCCTCATGGCACTGTGGCACGGAGATGCACGCACAAGGCAGCGCCCGCAAGCTCCCACGGGCCCGCCGCCCCACGGGGAACGTGCGGGAGCGCCCACCGTGGATTGCCGAGCTCCTCCGAGCCTTCCGCACCTGCCCTCCATTTCCACCGGAGCAAACGTGAACAGGCGACGTCCGAACATCGCTGCGGAAAGATGCACGGCAGATGCTTACCTGGGGCCTCATCACACATTTTAACTTTTGGCCGCTCGAAGCCCAGCAGAGCCCGGGGGCACGGGGCGGGACCCGAGGCCTGCCGGGCCGCCGCTCCGCGGGCCTACCGCCACAGCAGCCGCGGCATCGGGCCTGCCGAGGGCCCGCACCCCTCCGCGGGGGGCTGCGCGCTTCCCGGGCAAGCGGCAGGCGGGCGGGGGCCGAAGCTGCCCAGGGGACGCGGAGCAGCCGCAGGGCGAGAAGCGTCAGGGCAGGAAACCGCCGCTCGCCCCGGCCGCGGCCGGGCAGCCTCACCGACCCGCTCCGCCAGGGCGGCGCCCCTCCCCCCCACAGCCCGACGGGGCGCGGGCAGGCACCGGCGGCGAGCGGGCCCGTGGCCCTCACGCTTGTCACCCCGCCCCCTCCACACCGGGCGTGGGAGTCGGGGCGGGGGGGGGGGGAGAGGGGGAGGGGGGGGGGCACTTGGGAGACACACGGACACGGACACACACACGCACACACACAGTGGCGCGGACGGGTATCGCGAGAAGAGCGGCGCGGCGAGACTTCGGTCTTAAAGGAGCCGTCAGCGGGGTGGTCGGAGCGCGCGCAGCTGCTGAGGGGAGGCGGCCTGGCTCGCGTGGCGCGGCCCGCGCTGTGGCGAAGCCCCCGCGGGCGGCCGGTGGCTGTGGCGCGGAGAGTGCTCGGTCTGAGGGCGGGCGGCCGTGGGCGCTGGTGAGGCGAGTCCCCCGGGAGAGCCCAGCGCGGGGCTGGGAGTGAGTCGGGTCTGTGCTGCGGTGCCGCGTTAGACGCACCAAGTCATAGCGCGCTTTCACACACAAACCCGCCGAGGTGGAGTGCGGTACGTGTGGCGGTGTTGTGCAGGCGTCTGACCGGTGAAAAATACGGCGTTGCCCCCGAATGTCGCCCCGGAGCAGAGTGTAACTGCTCCTGCGGGAATGGTTTGGCCTCTTCAGCCATAATGCCTACATGGTAACTGAGTTTCCTCCTAATGCAGCCCAGTTTGTAGCAAAATGTGTAAAGGGGGGGGGGGGGGGGGGGGGGGGGGGAGGGAGAAGTGGGATCTAAAGTTATTTTCTGTGGAGGAGTTGCGCAGGTAAGGAAGCCGGGAGAGCAGCTGGTGCTTTGGCAGAACGTGGCCTTGCAGCTGGCGTGGCGCAGAGGAGAGGGCTGCAGTGAGGTGATTGGAGCTTGGTAAGAACTGTATGTGCAGCAAGATCCAGTGCTTGTGGCAAAGGCTCAGGTGAGAGAGGCCCGCTACGCTACAGCAGTTACCCCTCTGACCGTTTTCAGAAGAGCTTGACTGGACACGGTAACACTTTGCAGATTATAAGCTATTGGTAACAACCATTTTACTCTTGCTGAAGAAAACTCAGCCCCATCAAGAAATCTATCCAGATTGCCTCATATCTCAGTAGTAATTCAGTAAAATGTTGCATGAAGGGGTATGACTTCCCGGATCCTTCCTATTTAGCAATATGCATTCACATACATTTAATAGCACAATATTAAGTAGTTTGACTAATGAAAGTTTATACGTGTAAATACCATGCAAGATCTATTTTTAAAGCAACTTTGATTACTTTCTAAATGCAGACAACATTAGTTTGGGATGTGTTGTTTCTAATTATCTTGTAACTTCAGTCATTTTAATGGCATGTTGAGGAGGGATTCAGCAATAGAGGAAAAAAGGACGATCCTTTGGACATATGCAATGAAATTGCATACAATGAAGATGGATGGTCAAACTGCCTAATCAAAACTCTACATCTTAAGATATTTTCAGGAACAAAGCAAGGCAATAAATTTGCTAGGATGTAGGCCTCCGTGCTGTTTCTGCATGCAGCTGGTATGCAGGCAGCCACTTTCCTGGTCCTAAGAGTAATGGAGACTTACGCAACCTGGAGCATCATTAAGTTGCTTCTTGAAGTTATCTGCTATAAGCCATTTTGTTCTAACAGAAGTTAATGAACGATGGATGGTGTTTGATCAGCTAATTATATTAGGCTAATCAGAAAACAGCAAGCATAAAAGCACTAATACAGTTGCTGCAACAATAAACCACATTAATACTGGGCCCCACTTATGATGGGGGAGGTTCAAAAATAAAATGTAATATAGTACCAATAAATTACATTGTTTTAAAAATATACATGTAGTCATGCACTTTACTGTGTTCATTCCAAAGGAATGTGACAAGAACTATCTGTCATAAAACTAAAGCTGAAAACAGGATGGCATTTCAGATTTTTAAAATCTGGAAAAATAAACACAATGTAACTTTACCATGACCTGAGATACTTAATACACCTTGACCTTTGGAGCGCTGTGTGAAAATTGGCAAGAATATAGGCTCTGATTCTAAGGTAAGCTTTTAAACTGGATCATGTTTGAAGATAAATGTGTGTTTATACCATGAGGTGTTTCTTTAATGAATACTATGTTGCTTTTGATTCTTACCAAGATACTTCTGCTTAGTAAGGACTCTTCCATGCAGAGTACAGTTGTTATTTTACAGTCACAAATACAATGCTATGACTTCACAATAGAAGGAAATAAGAAACAGATTAAACTCGCTTAAACAATTTTTCTGATAAACAGACAGTAAAATTCTGCCTACACTCCAAGGATCCCATTCCACTTTTATGTCAGTGGTAAGACCTCAGTGGCTTAACTGAAAACAATTGCAATTGAAAACACCAGGATGAGTCTCCATTACAGTTAGGTGCACTCCTGAAACTTCCCTTCAGGGGGGAGAAGAAAGGCAGTAACACACCCTTAACAGGAACAGTTGGCTAGCTCTGTCAACAGGTAGTTTTCCTCTGGACATTAAAATTCCTTTTGCAAATTACAAGCAGATTCTGTATGTTTACTCCACTTAAAAAAAAACCCAAAAGCTAGAAACCAAGCTGGCCTACTGAGATTAAGGCTTCTTTCGTACACTACCTGTATAGGACCAGGCCCATAATGACATTTTCAGAGGACAGAAAATTCTTTAGCTCTGTCCTGTATCTTTAAAACTTTTTGGAATATGAAAGTCCTTCTGTCAGGATTATTTCTAGTACAAGTTAAATTTTACTTGCTAGGATGTCAAAAATACCTCACACCATGTTTCTTCAGGGAAAGATTTGTAAAATGATTTCAATTTGAAAAGCTGTTGCCCTTACTGAAAAGTTGAATATATCCAAACCCCATATTAAAATTTGAACTCTGCTCATATTTGTCTTAGTTTAGATTTCATAAGAGTAGTGTTAGGCTCAGATAACAACAAAATGAATAGGATAATGGGGATAAGCACTTTTTAAATATGTGCTATATCCCTGAAAGCATTTCACATGTAACATTGTGGCCTTCCTGCTAGCTCTTCTTTGACAGAGAGAGGAGATAAATTAACTGATGTGCATCTAAAAAGAACAGTTTAGTTACATTCGCAGCATCCTTCACATCAGTATGTCTGAAAACAAAGCAGGCTAGTGAGATGCACTCAGCGTTTGCAAGTCTAACTGAAACCCATGGAAAGTACAGGCACCTAAAATTTTTGAAAATGTAAGTTGTTTAATTCTATACTAGAAGAAAGAAGAGGTGGTTCAATTCACTGGTATTAATTAAGCTTGGCAGCACTAAAAGTGCTACAAAGAGGAACTCTGTAATGTGATACGCACTGAATTAACATTTTGGAAGGTCTTTTGTCTCTCCAGCAGTTCATTTGCCACAGTATTTTACACATTAACAGTATTCAAGAAGCTCGGAGAGTTCTTCGTGGAAATGAGCCTGACTGGGTGCTCTCAAGTGTCTGTACGCTGATGCACACCCCACAGGGAACAAAGAAGAGGCATTAGTGTCCTTGCGTGCAGCTGCAAGGCTGCAGTCTCTTTGGGGGTCACTCAGATGTGGCAGGGTAGCTCACATGACAGAGAGCTGTTGTCGGCCAATACAGGCCATTTCGGAAGGACAGGCCAGGACAGTGGCAAGCAGAACTGGCCTTTTGTGTGGGAGAGCAGCAGGGATACGTGGAGCTCTGCCTGATCCGTAGTGACCATGATATGGTGGAGTCCAGAATCTTGAGAAAAGGGAACAAGACAAATTGCAGGATCATAACCCTGGTCTTCAGGAGTTCAGACTCATGTCTGACCAATCCATTAGCCTTCTACAATTGCATGACCAGCTTGGTGAACTGGTGGAGAGTGGTGTATGTTGTTTATCTTGTCTTCCGCAAGGCTTTCACCGCTTTTTTCCATAACATCCTCTGTATACAGGCTGATGAAGTATGGACTAGGTAAATGGGCAGTGAGGTGTGTTGAAAACTGGCTGAACTTCTGGGCTTAAAGGATTGTTAGCAGCTGCAGTCCCATTACTAGTGGAGTATACTGGAGTCTGTTACTGGGGCCAGTACTGGCCATTACATTGGTGACTCGGATGGTGGGACAGAGTGCATCCTCAGCAAGTTTACAGGTGATACACAGTTGGGAGGAGTAGTTGACAGACCAGATGCATGTGCTGCCATTGAAGATGTACTGCCACCGGCTGAAGAAATGGGCAACTAGGAATCTCATGAAATTCAGCAAAGTCCTGCACCAGGCATGGAATAACTCTGTGTAGCAGTATAGGCTGGAGATCAGCTAACTGGAGAGCAACTTCACATAAAAGGACCTGTGGGTCCTGGGGTGAGCCAGCAGTGTACCCATGCAGCACAAAAGGCCAACAGCGTCTTGGGCTATGCTAGGAAGCGCATTGCCCAGCAGATCAAGGGAGGGGACCACATCTGAAGTGCTGCGTCCAGTGGCTCCCCACAGCAAAAAAAGATGTGGATATACTGGAGAAAGTCCGAGGCCATGAAGATTAAGGGATCGCAGCATCTGACCATACCAGAAGCGACTGAGAGCTGGGATTATGTAGCCTAAAGAAGAGAAGGTTCAGGGGGGATCTTGTCAGTGTGCACTGGGAGGGTATAAAGCGGGTAGAGCCTTACTTTTCTTAATGATGCCCAAGGCAAGAGGCAATGGATGCAAATTGAAAGGGGAAATTCTGTTTAAAGGTAAAGCTCTTCAGCTGTGAGGGTGGTAGATCACTGCCGCAGTTGGCTCAAAGAGGTTGTGGAGTCCCCATCCTTGGAGATACTCAAAACTCAGCTGGACGTAGGCCTGGTCAACCTGCTCTGAGTGACCCCACTTTGAGAGGGGAGGTTGGACTAGATGTTCTCTACAGTCTTCCAACCTCAGCCATTCTGTGATTCTTTGAAAAAGTTTGTAGGACAGACTGAGTTTTGGCTAACTGTTTATGCTGTTTAGTATTTAAAAATTAAGAGCTGTAGATACCAGGCAGATTTCTTAGCCAGAATCCAGTTTGTCCTCAGCCCAGTGCCAAAGGACATGGGTCCAATTCTTACCTAGCTATATACATATTTCCAGTTTCATCTTCTGGTTATTCTTAATGACTTGTAATATCTGCAAGTTACTCTTCTCTTTTGTATCCTCAGTCACAAAATAAAACCCTGAAAATGCTGGTTAAGGATGTCTGGAAATATTGCACAACACTTAAATGTGTGCACAACACATAAAAATAGATAACGCCTTGAGAGTTTAAGTCAATAAATCAGATATCCCCTGTATTGTTAACTCATTCTCTCTCCAAAAGGCTCTGGCCAGTCCTAAATCTTGCTAACTCTTAGAAGCCTGGGTAGTATAATTCTTATAACCTGCTGCAAAACTGTCCTTTTAAGTTTGTCTTCCAGATGATGTGTTACTCAGGTTGAATAAACCTGAGAGACTGATTCCACAAGTGTTACAAAATATTGATTCATTTCCTTCAAGTATCTGGTTAAAGGGTGACTTGAGGAAAAAGTAAAGTTTTGTCCTTAAATAAATATTGTATATAAATGGATCATGTCAGCAACACTCAGATTTCATGATTGCCTGGAGTGGGAACTGGATAATGAGACTTGTCAGCTCCACTGGATTTGTAGCAGGTATTTATGTAGAGAAGGTTTGAATGTTTCAGAAAAATATGTGAACATTCAAGAGGCTTGTGGACCAGTCTCAGTTATGCTCTGGGTCTGGTTAAACCAAATCAGCATAATTGTTCTTCAGAGGATCTTTTATTATGTGTTACACATTTCACTTTACAAATAAAAATTATTTCAGAAATGGAACAGAGATTTCCATTAGGAGTAGTAGTCATAGAAATGGTTTATGGAGATTACAGTTGAGTTTAGTTCCTGTAATCCCTTTTTTCCTTGAGGAAAAAATAAAACGTATTTACTTCCTCAGGTTTGATTTCACTTTTTTGAGTTTTGATTGACAGCAAAGCGTGAAGGGAAAGACTTAAAAGCAGTGCACACATAGAAAGAGAGTAAAAAAGACTAAAACTGGAAACACTGAGTTACTTTCTTTTTTGTGGGGAGTAACATGTCAAGCTGTCCTCAAGAGATGAGGAAGTCATCACTTAAGGCCTCCTAAGCAGATGAGATGCAAATGTCATCTGATGTGGGGACTGGGACATGAAGGTTTCGTAACTAAAACCCCAAAGCCTGTAGTACACAACCCTTGTAAACAGCCACCTGCATTAATCACTGCTGTGGTTTGGGCCTCGTTGTCAGCCAACCACCACACAGCAGCTCTCTCTCCCTTCTCTTCCAGCAATGAGAAGGGACAGAGAGTCACACTTGGGGTTCGAGATAGGACTGGGATGGGGAAGAAATCCCCCTTTATGATCACGAGCAAAAGGCAGACTCATTAGGGGAAGAAAAAAAAGAACATACATTTATTACAGACACTAACAACACATAACAGAGTAGGACAGTGAGAAGCATTGCCACATCTTGAGAAGACCTTCCCCCCACCCCTCCCTTCTTCCCGGGGTCAGTTCTGCTCCCGATATCTCTACCTCCTCACCCAGTGGCACAGGGGCAGGGAATGGGGGGTGCAGTCGGTGCTGCCACTTCCTTTATCTTCGGTGGGGGGAGTTTCTGGAACTTCTTCCCCCTGCCACACCATGGTCCCCCTCTCACAGGAAACAGTCCTCCACAAACTTTCTCTGACATGAGTCTCTCCCATGGGCCGCAGAGTTCCCCACACTGCTCCGTCATGGGTCACTAACTTTCTCTGACTGAATTCTCTCCCACGGGCTGCAGCCCTTCGTGAGCTGGTCCGGCATGGGACTCCCCCGCATGCTGCAATCCTCCCAGCACTGAATTACAGCAGCAGGGTCTGATTTTTCACACAGGACCCAGGCCTTCTTCAGGCACAGAGCCTTGATCATCCAAGTAGAAGCCACAGGCCATAAATCGATGTTTTCTCCACCGTAGATCTTCACGGGTGGCAGGGGGGGGCCGCCCTGCCGTCTCCCCACAGGATACAGGGGGGTCTCTGCTCCGGCACACCTCCACCCCCCTTTCTTCCTCCATTCCTCCACTGACCTTGGTGTTCACGCAGCTGCAGCAACTCCTCCTCACCAGTCTGACTGCCCGTCACCACGTCCCTTCTTAAATACGTTATCGCAGAGGTACAGCTGATTGGCTCAATTTCTCAAACAGAAGTGGAGCTGAATGGAGCTGGGGGAGCTTCGAGAAGCTTCTCAGAGGGGGACGCCCCGATAGCCCCCTCCTCTGCCACCAAAAAAAACACCACTCTCTCAACCCAGGACATTCTCAAAGCTCCCCGAGCTCCAAGTCAGACCCACCTCTGGCCAAGGCTGAGCCAATTAGTGACAATGGCTGCGCCTCTGCGCTAACGTATTTAAGAAGGGGAACCTGGGAGGGGGCTGGGACTTGTGAGAAGGAGTTGTGAGAAGGACTAACACTCAGGTCAGTGGGAGGAAGAAGAAGGAAGAGGGGAGGTGTGCGGGGGCAGAGCCCTCTGTATCCTGTGGTGAGAGAGCAGGGCCACCCACCCTGCCACCCATGGAGGTCCACGGTGGGGTAGGGGCTGACCTGAAGCCTGTGGAGCAGCCTGCACCAGCACAGGCGGCTGCACTTAAAGAAAGATGGGATACTGAGGGGAGATGAAGCCCCCACTGTTGTGGTTCAGCGCTGGGAGGACTGCAACACACTGGGGTCACCCACACCGGAGCAGCATGGGAATGGCTGCATCCCGTGGGGAGGACTCACGCTGGAGGAGGTTTGTGGAGGACTGTGTCCCATGAGAGGGGAGCCACACGGAGCAGGGGAGGAATGTTCAGTGTTCACCCCCTCCTGAGAAGGAAGGAGCGGTGAGCTGACTGTAACCCCTATCCCCTGTCCCTTGTGCTGCTGGGGGAGGAGGTAGAGATATGGGGAGTAGAGCTGAGCCCAGGAAGAAGGGAGGGGTAGGGGGTGGTGTTTTTTGGATGTAGTGATGCTTCTCAGTATCCCACCTTGTCTGTTAAGTGTTGTCTTTGTTAGCGTTTGAATTACAGTGATGTTCTTTTTTTTCTTCCCTAACAAGTCTGTCTTTGGCCCCTGACGGTAATGGGTGAGCCACCCCTCCCTGTCCTTATCGGGATTTGTGAAACTTTTTACTTCATTTTCTCCTTCCCATTCATGAGAGGGGAAGGGGTGAGTGAACAGCTGCCTGGTGCTCAGTTGACCTCTGGGCTCAAACCATGACAACAACAAAGTAACCTGCTCAGTTGATATGGGGAGAGTGGTGGACACTGCCTACCTGGATTCCTCCAGTGCTTTCTATACAGTTCCTGCAAGCCTCCTCCTAGAGAAACTGATGTGTTATGGTCTGGAGAAGTGGTCTGTGTGGTGGATGGGGAACTGACTGAAAGGCTGCACCCAGGGGGTAGTGGTAAATAGCTCTTTTTCAAAGTGACAGTCTGTCACAAGTGGGGTCCCCCAGGGATTGATATTAGTCCCAACGCTTTTAATATCTTTCTGAGTGAACTGGATGATGAGATCAAGTGTACCCTGATGAAGTTTGCTGATGATACCAAACTGAATGGGGATGTGGACACTTCAGCAA